GAGGCACATTTTGTTACTGCTCTCCTCGAAGGGATGTGCTAAAGGCAATACACACTCTAGAGGACTTTAATTTCCATTGTTTACTTTCTTTCACATACATCGCACTGTTTGATAAGGGAGCAGAAGCAGGGAATCCATGTATAATTTCCTCCACCGAGCCCTTATCTCACGACCGAAGCAGAGCTATTCTTACAGAAGCTTCCAACCCAGAGAAAGTGCATCCAAGTTTTGTATTCCAGGGTAACCACAAGGGCATACTCCACCCAAGATGTTTGAACGTTGTCCTGGCCGGGGCCCCAATACTGTTTATTGTGCACAGGAAAAGCTCATTACTACAAAGCAGCCAGCACTGAATGCGTTGCACAAGGGTGCATTTTACAGGACCCAAAACAAAATCTCAAAGTGGGAGTCTTCCGGAGTCCAACCCTTTGCGGAAGCCCCTATCCCCTGCCCGATTCAATAAACAGCATTGTCTTTCATCTTCAGACTCCGAAACATCTGCTGCTCCAGTCCAACGTGAGGTGAAATCCTAGCCCTGCTGAAGGTATCGCTGCGAACCCAGCGTGGCGCGGCTTCCACTTCACCCAACCCTCCTCGCCAGAGCCACCTTCTTTGTACAAAGGTAGAAGATGGACTGTGTTGCTTCAATTTTCTGTGGCTTAACGCAACTGATCTCTTGATAGCAACCAGATTTTCCTTATTGACAATAGCATGGCTACAGGCATTACTGGCAATCTAAACCTAAACTGGATCTTTTAGGGGAAATTCCCCAAACGTCTTCTTCAACTAGAAGATGTGCAAGAAGAACTTACGTAATGCTATACTTGATTTACTTCTTGGCTGGTAAGAAAAATGTTCAGCATTCGAGTAGGGATTCTTCTTCCCATCCCTTCCACATGTAATAATTCAAACATTCACACTGGATAGCATTTACTTAACAAAAACCTGCCATCTGCTTCTCCTAGTGGGTTCACTCCGTTTGTATTAAAAAGAAAAACATGACAGAAATTTCAGCGCTGAAAATAGACTATTAAGGAGCTAATTTTGTTTATACGACTTCCCAAGCAAAATGTATACGAGATGCATGGTACTTGTAAATACAATTATCGCATGAAACTAAGAATTCACACAAATCTGACTTTTGATGACAGGTAAAAATGATGACAGATAATAAATTAGTGATACCTCTGGTCATAACTTTGCCAAGAATGACTTTTCAAAATAATGTACACCGAAATACAAGTAAGCCATTTATATGGCAAATATGTTCCTGGATATCTCACATAATATTCCATGCAGGAGTTAAAATGGACCAATGGGCAGATCTGTCTCAACTAAATCTTGATGCCCATGTGTGAACTAATCCTTTAGGCTCTTTAACACTCCTGAGAGGTAAGTCATGCTCCAGAAGTACTCCTTTTCCCAAGGTGGGCACCTCACAAAGTCAGAACTATGCTGTAAAACTGCCCGTTCCTCTCACCTGAGCAGAAAGGGTCCAGACACTAACTCATCTGGGCAAGACGGATCCCACTCACGTATCTGAAATACAGCTCTGCAGCCTCAGGAACTCCTTGAGCATAAATCACAGATAGGTTTGAGTGTTACTGGATGAACAAATTATTTATGGTTTCTGATCAACTGAAACCCTTTTTGCCAAGTTCAATATAATTACATACAGTGTGCCCAGACAAAGAAAGATTCAAGAATTTTCTTGATGTAACCTGGAGAAATCATACAAAAGTTAGGCTCTTTATTTTGAAATGACATTTCCTAGCAAAATTTAGCTAAATTTTGAAGGGCTTAAGCCTTCCTTTCAAAAGCAGCTGAAACATTTTGCTTAGGCTTCCCTTCCTTTCCTCCATTTATTATTAATATTTTTTTTTTGGAAGGGAAAGAGGAGGGAAGGGAAGAGATGGGGCTACCCTGCCACACGTCTCCAAATTTAGATATTTTTTAATTCAACCACAAAACTGAAAAAAAAAACACACCACAAAAGGGCACAAAAGCCCCTGAACCTCACAGCCAGATCACTGCTCAGCTGAGTTAATGGAGCACTGCCTGTTGACACCAGCGGAAGAGCTGGCCTCGTTCGCCTGGTGACCTCATCCAGATCCATCTTGCTGTGCTTCATCAGCGGATCGCCAAGTTTTGCTGACACACCGAGGCAACTGCTAAAGAAAAGTTGCATTATACAATCTCCTGCTTAATTCTGCAGTCAAGTATTTCACGGTAAATCATACCAAAATCTCCTCGATTGCAAAATACGGTTCCCAAGTTACAAGAGAATAAGTTTTATGTGCAACAGAAACAGCAAGGCAGCCGAACTACTTAAATCCTCCGGGAAAACAGAATGGGTTGGTGATGATCTGTTTCCAGGCTTTTCTGAAAATTTCTTTTAACTTAAAAATAGTAAGAAAAAAAGTCAACATAGTCCAAGATCAGGTTTGATTTAAAAAAATAAAAACTTCACAGATTTTTAGGAGCCTAAAGTTTTGTTTTTTTTTTTTCCTTTAAATGCGCGGAAGGCTGCCTTGAGCGCGAATTAGCAGAGGGGCTGGGATTATCAACATATGTGAATAGTTTGGTCTGAAGACCAGAAAAGCTGGAATTTGTATTCCTGCAGTGAATGTCAGTTGGAGCTGAAGTGCTTCACCACTCCTGTAGGGCGAGTCCTGTTTCTGATAACGCTTCCAGATTCCTTGGATGAGGAAAATAATTTTGCCCCGTGCAAGCAAATATGAAGTAAGTGGGACATTAAATAATACATTACATGGCAGTTATTAAGTTACAAGTTCTTTAAAAGTAACCTCCCTCATCAAATCCTGGCAGTGTTTTATGAAATTTGTGGCTATTAGAGACAATCCTGTTTTTCCCTGAAACACACCCAGAAGTGTCTTTCTCTGACTAATGGGGAAATTTAGGAATTTAACAGGTGAAACCTTCATTTCCCACTAAATTTGTGTACACTAAGTCATCCTACAAGGGAAGTCTCCTACTGTGTGAACAAAAGGATACCAATGGGGCAAACCTGAGCACAGACTACGAGGCCATATCCTTCACCAACACAAGGGCAGGACTGTTTCACGCGAGAGGTGACACCATGGCAAAACTTCAGCTTGGAGTCACTCCGAGTAATCTTGGGGGAAAGAGAAATCTGATGCAAAAAACAGTCGGCGTGTGTTGATTTCCCGGGAGGAAACCTTTCCCCGAGTTTGACATAGCTGAAAAATGGCAGCCAGCGAGCTCAGGGTTTCTTACATCATCTGGAAAAAGCTCAGTGCCTCACACATCTCTTTTTGATGTGCCTGCAGAATTCGGCCACAAATTGCTGCGCACACGGCCTAACAAGTCAAGGCAGGGAAAAGCAGATTCCCAGTCATGGCCTGATCCCAAACTCACTGCAATCATGGAAAAGATCCCATTGACTTCATAGGCTGTGGGCGATGCCTCAGGTCCGGTTCTGACCAGATGCTGATTTCTGAAATGCTGCACGTGCTGGAGAAGGCACCCTACTCGATTTTAGCAAGAGGTATTTATTTCCCATGGCCACTATGAGCTCTGGATAATGCCACATACCGCCATGAGCTCGGGATAATCCAAGACTCAACTCTCACCTAGAAGGAAACACAAAGCCTATTCACAGCATGCTTTGCAGCTGAAACACGTATTTTTGTTTTTATCTTTTGGGGCTTAATGTTCACAAAGAAAAAGCTCCAACAGTCGGAAAAGTCTTTGGGAATTCCTTTCTGTTTAATTCAGTCAGGTGTTGTTTGGCTGACACCGGCAAGTGAACTGGTATTTACGAGGTGCCCTTACGGTGCCCTGTAAAATTCGCCCTTTCCCTCCATGAAAATTGGCACTATCCATCATGAGAACATAATCCCCCGGGACAGGAGGACCGAGCCGCTTCCCCGCTCTGCTCTGCACGCAGATGTGTGCATGTTCCCCCGCTCTGTAAGTCACGGCTGCCTCTTGGCAAGGAACCTCAGCAGCTGCACATCTGCAGCGGGGAAAGGCTTTCAGCAGAAAATACGGAGGGGGGATCTTATCCTCCCCCCCCGCCTGCAAAGCAAGCTCAGCATTTGTTCCTCTCCAGATGACACCCTGATGGGTTGATTTAATCGCTCGCAGATGCGTGCCTGTCCACAGCGCCAGCAGAATACCAGGGCTGTGACTGCAGCTCACCTGAGCCGCCCGCAGTACCGCAGCTTGGCAGCCAGACCTGGGGAAGAAGTCTCACGGGGCATGAAGAGGAAAGCACTGCTCGAGGACATCGCTAACGTAAAACGATTCCGCAGAACTCACCTGAGCGTGCGAGACCGCTCGTGACTAGGAAAACACCTCAGCAGGTGTTGAATTTTAAGCATCTGCTCAAAGCCCACTGTCATCAATTAGGTTTAAGCTTGTGGCACACCAAGTCCAGCCCAAATTTCCCTGGGGTGGAAATGATGCACTGCACTGGGAGCACAGCGCTCTGCTGGGCGGATTGAAATGTATGCTGAGACCTGTACGTCTGCCGAAACGCTTTGCCAAGCTGGGGGCACTGCACAGGATGCTTAAACGTGGACGGATCACAGCAACACTTCACCACATTTATTCCCCAAGGGAAATTTAATTAAAACACGCAGCATCTAGCCACTTACAGCGATTCCAGCTACAAACAGCAGTACTGGAACTGAGCTGATTAGTTACCGCGATGCCTAACGAGGACCTGGGCACAGGAAAACACGGCTGCCAGCGTCCACATGCAGAGCCTCGCTCACCACCAGAGATACACCTCCCACGCCAGACCTGCTGCCTCCTGCAAGGCACAAGACCTCACAGCAAACCTCCGTCAGCACCAGCGATTCTGGTGTGCAGAGCCCAGACCTGCCCCAGTTAAAAGACACAGATAAATACACGGCGATGCCCCTCCAGCTGCTCACACAGCATCACCAGCCTTATCACAGCCCAGCAGCAACGCACAGACCCCGCTTTAGGAATGGCAGAGCCCAACTTACTGCTCTAGCGTCCTTCCTGCTGCCTCTCACCCTGCTCTGCCATCACGCAGCCCCCCACGGGACCCGGCCAGCGGAGCACGCGAAGCCGGCCGCGTGGAGAGCCCGTGGGGAGGCGCGGGCCCATCTGCTGGAGGCTTTTCTCCGTGCGGGTCGGTGGTTTTATTCCAGCTCCCTCTGCTTCGGGGCCCCTCTGCCTCTCGCCCCTCCCCACTCCCTCTCTGCTCATGAGGACAGAGTTTCCATCCTGGCTCCCAGCCAGCACATGCAGGGGCAAAGGCAGCGCTCGGGAAAAGCCATCTTCTGCTCCTTTTCTCCTTTTCTCCACACAAACACCACGGTTCCCAGCCCGGGAGGACTGACGAGAGCTTTTCCTGCAGCATAGAGGGCCAGGGGCCCGGCTGGGCTCAGCACTGGCAGGTGTGAGTGCGAAGAGCCCCCAGGCAAAGCTGGCAGCACCCAGCGGTGGGGCAGAGACCTCATGCTACGGGTAAAAGGCCTCGGCGATGCACTAGCTCTTAACAAGTTTAATTAGGGAAAACCTTCAATCATCGCTGTTGCTATGAGATCTCAAGTATTTACTTATTTAACGTAGTGATGGCGCCTTTCAGTGCCGTCCCAGCAACACAGACCTTGAACTGGCCCTAATTCAAGATCACCCACGGCCCCTGCTGAAGGCAACTCTTCAAAAGCACATCCTGAAGCCAGAAGCCCGGACTTTGGTTGTGTGGTTTGCTAGGCTGACCATAGACTCTGGGAATGAAAACAGTCCCATTTGCTCTTCACTAAAGCCTGGGCTGAAACCACGGAGAAATTACATTCACACACTTTAACCTTTGGTTTTATTTGCAGTAGTTTGTAAAGCTGTTTCAAGGTGAAAAACAGAAAAAAAAACATAAACAAGATAAGCATACTATTGTCTTTTCCATTGTACCTCACAGATCCCACCACGGAAGCACTGCCCCTTCTCCAGCCTCACGTGGGTAAAGCAATGCCCACAGATTGGTACCCTCGGATGCAACGTTACTTCAGCCATATCGAGATAAGACCAGACTCACTCATCTACTTTTAGAGCTCAAGTGCAACAAGGAATTTCCTCCTAGCTACATCCCACTCCCTTCTTCCCTGTGGAGTCTTCTCAGCCCTTAAGGAACTGCTATGCAAGTTAATTAAAAGTCTTATTTCAGCATTTCCTTCACAGTAGAGGCCTCTTCCAGCCAGCTCTTGGGACCCTGCCAACAGACCTATCAGCCACTAGTACTTAAATCCTTCCGCTAAAAAATGCTTCCCTGAAGAGCTTATACCCCAGCTCTGGACGCCTAAGAGGGCCGAGCATCAAACCAAACAGCTCCAACAAGAGCTTAAGAGCAGCTCTTCTCCGTTCTCACAGCCTTAAGTGCACTAAAGGGCCTTCGCTCCCCTTGGTCTGGCCCCTGCTTAGAAAGGAGCAGGAAATAACGTCAGGTGCTACAAAGGGAAGAGAGCATGAACTGCGTTGGACGATGCATTCACAGTGGTCCAGAAGAACATGACCCTCACCTCACTTCTGAAACGCCCAGCATCAACCCGTGTTGAATAGCCTGGCTCTGCTGCGTGAAAATTTGATTTGTTGAACTTGGGGTGAGCATCGCATTTGCCTCTGCATTCCCAGAGCACCCAGCACAACTGATGTTTAATTACAGCCTGTATAAATTGGTTATTATGGCTGAAATTCAGTGATAAAGCTTCTACTGAATTTAGAGCACCTCTAAAAACCAGTCTTGCAGTTGACATGGTCTTCTTGCCAAAATGAGAACTTCTAACATGTCAATATGCCAGACACGGGAGAAAGACAACCACACCAGAAGCACTTGACAAAGGATCTAAATGCCCTTCCTGTTTTTGGAGGACAGCAAGCATCACGTGGTTCCCTCTATAGACAAAATGTCCTAAAAGATTTCCCAAGGCAGCGAGCTAGAGACACCACCGAAAGCAGCACTTTGGGACACGCAACTTGCCCTCGTCTACAAGGGGGACCGTGCACAGGGGACGTGCCAAAGGGCTACCCAAGCTCCAGCACACAACCTTCTAACCCAGAGGCAAGGAGCGGTCCCAGCTGAGCTATAAATCTTTAGCCTGCTTTTCACATCCCGAATGTTTTCACCCTTTGTTTTCAGTGCATTCTCTTCAGTTCCTCAACGAGGCACTGTATTATCCTGGGAAATCTTGTGGCTTTCCTCTCATTTCCATCCGTACCGCCTTCAGCTCTGTCCAAGTCTATCCCAAGGTGGTAAATATCCGGTCCCACAGGCTGAAGCACTGTTTGGATGACTTACAAACAACAACAACCCCGATCCACAAACACCACCACGATGACAAGAAGCCAGGACACGGCGTGAGGGCGCGGGAGCGCGTTGCTCCTCTCCGGCAGGACGCGTAATGACTCCCTTTCTGGGGGTTCAGAAACGGGGCCAGCACGCTTTATAGGACCTCACTACCACACAGCAAGAAGTAACCCTTCAATAATTAGCAGCCAGCGCAGAAAGCAGCTTTTTAATCTTTTTAATCCACCAGCAGCTCATCTCGCAGCAACATCTGCACAGCCCTAGCTAAAGCTCCGAGGCAATCCCCCTGCTCCCCTCCACCACCCCAGCTGAGCTCCCAACAAGCGGCACTTCTCCCTGACCACACAACTTGCTGTCCCGTCCGGGAAACATCCCATACCCCACCAAACCACCAGCACAGGATTCAGCACTGGCAGTGCCCTGCTGCTGCGGAGCCCCGAGGCCTCGCTCCCTGCTTCTCCAGCACCAAGCGCCGGGCTCCCCCAGCCCGCTGAGCCCCCTGAAAGCATCCCCAACCCCCTCCGCACGGCTCAGCCCCCAGTTCACACACACAGCGCCCAGAGGATGCAGGGGACGGGGACTTCACCGAGTTACGGGGCGCTCAGCCCCCGCTCCCCCCCCCATGCTCCCCTTCAGCCCCCCGCAGCCCGGCCGCCCCCGGCCCCTCACCTTCCTCGTTGGCGGCGGGGGGCCGCGCCCCGGCATGGCGGCGGCGCCCAGCGCCCTGCTGGCGGCCTGCGGAGGGGCTGGGGGCTCCCCGCCATGCAGCGACAGCCGCTGCCGCTGCCCCCCCCACGGCCCCGGCCCCAGCCCCGGCCCCGGCCCCGGTCCCGGCCCCGCGGCCGCCCGCCCTCCGCCGGCAGCGCCGCCCCAGCCCGCCCCCGGCCCGCCCCGCCGCCCTGTTAATGAGATATATTTCGTTAATATCTCATTAAGGGACTCGCTAACGCTGCAGCTAGGTGCGTCAGGCTGTCATTAGAGTCATCGGATCACAGAATGGTGAAGGCTGGAAAAGACCTCCCAGGTCATCTGGGCCAGCCACCCCCCCCCCCCCCCACCATCATCACCGTGTCCCAAAGTACCACATCCAACCTGCTCCTAAACACCGCCACCACCTCCCTGCGCAACCCGTTTCAGTGATTAGAAACTCTCAGCTTTTAGTTCCAAATAAAAAAGGGCATTCCCAGTGGTACTCGCCCTGAAAAAAAAAAAAAAAAAAAAAAAAAGGCTTTAAAATGTCCTTATGCAGAAGGCAATAAAAGCAGCCCAACCGTTATTAGCATTTTTAAATCTCTGGTTACTTGAACGTAAAATCTCAAGGTTTTTAAAAGCAAGCTCAAATTTTTTTCCATATGTGAAGGTGGAAATGTTGAAAAGGGGAAAAGAATGACGGGACAAATAGTTTATAAGATACTTCATAAAGCCATATATGAAATCACGTGAAAGACTTGAACTGTACCCAGGTACTCAGTGTAAGCCAGCACAGACTTAGTCCCACGCACGTGCCCCTTGCTCCAGACACACCAGGTACCATTCGCAGTGGCTGAAGCACCCCTGCGTGTCTGAGCCGTGTAATGCAACCCACCACCCACCGCCTGATCCACAGCTGCCCGAGACTCGGGCATCCACAGCAACACGCCGGTCCAAAGGCTGCTTTTGCCTTGGGTGAAAGATTTTCATCTCCTGACCATCAAAACCACGCCAGTGGAAGCCTACCCGGGCTGCGCATTGCCTGCCTGCGGGCACTTGAGACCCCCAAGCAGACCGTGGGGAGCTCAGCTCACCCCTGTTGGCACCCCAGATCCAACACGCACCGACCCCATGACACAAGGACACTGCAGCATCCAGGGACCACCAGGGTTTCCAGCACGGCCAGACTAGTTGGGAATGTATGAGGAAGAAGGTCTGTGCCCAACCAAGGCCCAGGGCTTATTTCTACTTAAGATGCTACTAGAATAAATTTGGGACAGTTTTTAAGCTTCTGTGGCTCGGCTTTCATCTCTGAGCCACGAGCAGCCGTCCTGCCTTCTTTCAGTCCTCCTCAGACCGCGTTCAGCAGGGATGGCAGCAGCGGGATGACCAGCTGCCTTCCCCATCCCCTCGCACACAGCAAGAGCGTGGCTTTGTTGCTTTAGCCAGCCCATGGCTCCTTTGCATGCTTCCACTTCCCATTAGCTGATATTTTAAAAATACACCTCAGAAACTAGCGGCACGACAAAAATCCTATTGGTCTGTATGGATACAACAACCCAACACCTCATGAGTATGGCGAAGGAGGCAGCTTCACCCCACGGTGAAGCGGAGGTCGCATGAAGCATTTTGGTAGCCAAACCCCTCATCCAAGCACCCTGAGGCAGATTCAGACCACCTCACAGAGCGGGCACGCCATGCTTGTGCTACTTGTGTGTATGTGGGGGGGAACGCCGCCATTTGGGGGCGCCGCCATTTTGGGGGTGTGGGCACGGCCATGTGTGGCGGCGCCGCCTGGCGGCCGGGCGCGGAGCCGCAGCCCCGGGGCCCCGCCGTGCGCCTTTAACGGGCGGGGCGGCGCCGCCTCCATCCCCGCCGCCCTGCGCGGGGCCCGGTGGCGGCGGGAGGGGGGCGATGGTGGCGGGCGGCGCCGCGCGGCTGCTGCCGCTGCCCCGCCTGGGCCGCGCCGCGGGGGCGCGGGGGGCGCTGCCCGGCTGGGGGGCGGCGGCGGCGGCGGCGGCGGGGCGCGGCGGGCTGCGGGGCGGCCGCTGGGCAGCCGTGGCCTTGGCGGTGCCGGTGCCGGTGTCGGTGCCGGTGCCCGCGGGCGGGCGGCGGCCGCCGCTGTGGGCAGGGGAGCGGGAGCGGGCGGCGTGGGGGCTGTCGGCGCGGCTGCGGCTGTGGCTGCGGCTGTGGCTGCGGGGCTGCGGGCTGCTGCTGCGCTTCGGGCCGCTGCTGCTGCTCTACCCGCTGAGCCGCCTGCGGCCCGCGCTGGGCGCGCTGTGGCTGCGGCTGCTGCGCAGGGCGGCCGAGGCGGCGGGGCCGGCGTGTGTCAAGCTGGGCCAGTGGGCCAGCACCCGCAGGGACCTCTTCTCGCAGGCTTTCTGCGAGGAGTTCGCCAGGCTGCACGTCCAGGTCAGCCCGCACCCCTGGGGCCACACCGCCGAGCTGCTGAGGAAGGCGTTCGGCGAGGAGTGGAGGCGAGTCCTCCATTTCCACAGCCAGGAGCCGGTGGGCTCGGGCTGCGTGGCGCAGGTGTACAAAGCCTATGCTGACCTGGCGGCTGTCACCGGGGCACAGGCCCAGGAGCCGGCATGGCGATCAGAGTTGAGGTCTGCTTCAGAAGCATGGGAGGTGTCGGGCTTCAGGGGCCTCCTCAGGTGGCTGAGGAAGAGGAAGAGCGAGGGGAGGTGGGAAGAGAGGGGCAAGGAGGAGCTGGGCCCCGTGGGCTGCTCCCCTGAGAGCCCCCTGAGCGGAGCACGGTGTGTGGAGCAGATGGCCAAACCGCCCCCGAACACAAGCCCTTCACCAGCCAGACATCTCACGCCTGTAGCCATTAAAGTAAGTTGTGCATCGGACTGGTAGCACACATCATAGCAGACATCTCAAAGTGGAGTGAACTGAACAGTGCTAAGAAGTCTTTAGCCCCCATGGAGATGAGTAGGCTGGCGAGGGCTAGGTGGAGCAACAGAAATGACGCTCATCTCCCTGCCTGGCTTTTCTCAGTGCTCCGGTTCCAGCCAGCTGTAATCTAGGCAGCAGTGGCCCCAACTCTGGCCAGCCTGGAGAAGCCAAGTACACATCCTGTCCATGGCACCATTTGGCATGGCGCCTGGGCACCAGAAATGCCTGCAAAGGCCCAGTTCACATAAAAAGAATGAGTATTAATCTTGGTGTCACCTTTCAGAAAATGAGTCTTTTTACATGAAGAGATCTGGAACAGCTCAGTTCTTTCCAGCAACATTTGTCTGAAGAAATTTTACATTTGAGCTGTTCCAAATGCTAGTCTGTAATACGTGGTGCTGTAATGTTACATGTTAATAGATGTAACAATACATGTAATACATGGCAGGAAGAGGGCAGGAGAATGAAAGCGATGGAAAATGGTACGGGGTGAAACTGTGGGCTTCAGCTGAGAAATATTCCATCTGAAAAATCATAAAGTGTTTCTTTATGACTTAAGCCATGGCAAAGTAAGAATTCCCCTGAGGACTAGCTGGTGAAGCCTTGTTAGCACCTAGTTTTAAAGACTGGCTGCTGTCTTTTTGGAATATATCATTTTAGCTGATCGAAATAGACTATCGTTTTTCCAGTGTTTTGATCCTGCCACCATTTTTTCTTGTGCAGGTCCTGCATCCTGGGCTAGTCCACCAAGTCCAGATGGATCTATTTCTCATGAAGATGGGTAGCCACATCCTTGGACTTCTCCCTGGATTCAAGTGGCTCAGTTTGACAGAGATTGTGGAGGAATTTGAGAAGCTTATGCTTCAGCAGGTATGTACAGTGCCACGGTCTTTGCGTAATGAAGTAAACACAACCTTTTCCTTGCTTCTGACTGGCTCTAACTCCATCTGTACAGCTCCTTTTTAAATGGTTAGGTGAAGTTTGCTTATTTTTTAATTAATCACTCACATAAAGTTGCTGTAGGAAACCTGACATGCTCACAATATGAAAGAACCAAAGCAACAGATAAGTTTAACAGTCTTTATTAGATTTAAAAATCTGTTTCAAGACTGAGTATGTTTTCTAGAAAGAAACCTGAACAGCTGATGAACGTTGCTGCAGTCCTTTTTGCAGGACGATGAAGGACAAGTGAACAGTGGTGAAAGGCCTCTCTGTAGGAAAAGGATCTCTCTGAACGAGTGCTCAGACTTTTTTTTCTTCTCTTTAGTCCTATGTACATGTTTACAATCTGTACTCACTGGTTGTGTTTCTTAGCCTAGAGGTATGTACATATTAGCATAATTAACACAGTTTTAAATGAGTTAATAACAGTCTATATTGTATCATCATCAGACTCATAGTGCTGGTAAAGTTAAACTTTACAAGGAGCTCTGAAAATGTGTCCTGATTCACTAACGTCTTACAAAGACACAGTACTGAAACATCCTTAGTACCAAATTTACAAAGATTTCCCTACAGAGTTCATAACTGTTATATTTCTATTAAAATGAATCATTATCTGCTAATTTCATTTTTGTGTCTAGATTACAGAGTCTGAAGTTTCTTTTAAACCTTTGAAAACCTTAACTCTTTTTTTTCTCTTGCAAGACATATACTCAAGCAAACCCATGCTGTAAGCTTTTTAGTGTATTCAGATGTGACTCAGGGTCATTGGGACCAGTCAAGTGGTGCAGAGCTTTTCCTGGATGCTCTGAAGACTCAGATTAGGAGGTGCCCAGGAGAGCATCTCAGGCCTGTTGTCATTTTTAATTCTTTTTGAAAGAACAAGAAATATTCCTACAATATTTCCTATTGCATTGCTACGATATTTCCCATTGAGGTGAGGCAGGGTTATCTTCCCTCCCATGTTCTTGTGCAGCAGCAGTAGACTGCAGAAGGTACAAGAATGTTGTTGGAGGGAGAGGTGGCCTTGCGTCAAGGCACTGGATCACTGAGAAGCTGGGGCTATGGCTTCCCATAGCGGATTATTTTGTGTGTCTTACAATAAATTTCTTAGTGCTATGTTTGCGTGTCTGTCTGTAAAGTGAGGCTAGGGCTGCAGTTCTCCCACCTTGCCTGCCTGCCTTGCTATTTGGACAGTAAGCTTTGGTTCAGGATCCATCTCAACCTGGAAAATAATGCAGTCCTGGTCTTTTTTGGGACACCCTGCCTATATAGTAAGAGTCGCTTCTGTTTCTGAGGTGCTGGATCCTGGGTCATTCATTACTGAGCCTTGCTCTGCTCTTCCATCAGGAAAGGTATAAGCATGTAAGAAGCACCACTCTTTGTTCTGTTCTGATTCTGGCTTTCTGAACAGGTTTGCTGGTAACTGTGCATTGCACCGCACAGCAACATCCTCACTGAGGATCCCAAAGATCTAATTGCATCTCTTTCCCAACCTGCTTTTTCTTTTTCTCCCTTGAGATCGACTTACGCTACGAAGCCAGAAATCTGGAGCGCTTCCGGCAAAATTTCCTAGATGTTGATTTTGTGAAGTTCCCAACTCCTGTTCGCCCTTTGGTAACGAGCGAAGTTCTAGTGGAAACGTTTGAGGTAAGAATTGCACATCCTGAGAATAGTGATAGCAGTGAGAAGGCCCTTAGGAGAGCACTCTAAAGAGGTGTCTTTTGAGAACAAGCACTCACAGGCAGAAGGATGCTTTATCTTACTTGCTTGAAGAGATCGGTGTTGTTCTTTCAGGGTCTCTTCCACTCTTTGTTTGTAAATAGTGTGCCCCAGAAGACATTCTTACTGCATTTCCTCAACTCTTCACCTATGTGAAGGTACGGGTGAAAGCGGGATGCGGGGTGTGTTTGACTCCAGCCCTGTCTTTATTTCAGGAGAGCGAGCCCATTTCGCGCTACCTGCATGCAGAGGTTGCCACAGAACTGCGGCAGAGCCTTGCAAAGATGGGCATGGACATGCTGCTAAAGATGGTACGCACTTGGCTGAGGCTGGAAGTGAAGGTGGTTTTCCCGCAGAAGCTATTCAGTTGGGGTAATAAGGCACTATGGCTAAAGAGAGAACAGAAACTATTTGCTTCCCACGCCTTCTGCCCTTCTCCCCATGGACTCAAAGACACAGCTGTGCCTTTTGGAGCCAGCCCGTGGACGCCAGGTATTGCGGTAACCCAGGACGTGGGCTGCTGGGGCACTGCAGCTCCTCAAATGACAGAGGGAACGCCTACCTCATGTGTGGTGTAACAAGGGCTGAGTCAAGCCTGGACTAGACACATCACCACTGTAGGTTTTGATGCAGAGCTTCTCTAGCTGCTGGCACACGGCAGGGTCCTGCTGTGCAATTTGATCAGGGCATTGCTTACAAACCCCACTGATCCATTTAATGAATATTCGTGTACTGCCTAAGTGCTGCAAAGTGCAATGTAGTTAGCAAATATCATGCTCTGCACAGATACTATGGATGTGACTCCCTGGGAAAACAGCTAGCTATTATTTATTTATCGCCCACTCCTCCAAAACTACCTTCTGTAAGGCAGAACTAAATATGGAGCAAAGAAAAACCCAGCCAGGTTTAGCTTACAACTTAACTTCTGGCTGTCTAGTTCTTGCATTGCCAAATAATCAAAAGTGATTTGGAAAGGAGCGCTGAAAGGTGACACAATCGGCTTCGAGAAGCCATGAGAACTAGCAGGGAAGAGCTGCAAAAGAACCTCACAGTGCTGAGCAAGCGGGCAGCGAGGGTCAGGTGGGATTCAGTGATAACTGCAACCCTGTGCTAAGGCAGCGGGGAGGCTGCAGCTACTTCATATCATATGGCAGGCTCTGGAGTGGCTTTTACAACTCAGAAGAGCAGTGGTGGAACTACAGTAGATAGTTCCATGCTGATGTTAGATTTAATACTTAGGAGCAAAGCAAAACCATCCAGATTTTAGGAGCAGAAAAGAAACATTAAGGCCGTATATAAAACAAGTACCTGTCTAGAATATTCTGCAGTTCTAGTCCCTCGCTGTCCATGATCTTCCATTTCAAGGGCTGTAATGGAACTAAGAAGGGTGCAGGGGAAGGCAGCCAGGAGAATTACCAGTGTGTAATGGCTTCTGTGCAGGAATGATGAAATAACTGGGACTCTCAACTCTGAAAAGCAGAGAAATTGGAGTAGCTTATAATGCAGACATATAGAGTCATGGGTGTTAGAGAATAAATACGGATCTATTGCTTATGGTTTCTTAGAACAATAAGGACATAAAAATTAATGGAGGCCACTTTTTCAGGCAGTGCCCCAAAACCCCTGCTATTTTCACATTGCCATAATTATTTATGTGAAAACTAGACAAATTCACAGGGGGAGAAATCCATCAGATACAGAGAGAACCTCCTGTGGGCAGGAAGTCCTGCAGCCTCAGGTTGCCAAGAATGTTGGTGGAGAAGCATTACCTTGTGCGTGCCCTCTTGTTAGCCCTTTCTGCTGCTAACTGCTAGCAGAGATGGAGAAGTACTACATGCATTTGTTTCCTCTTCTAACTTCTTTCCGTTACTTTTCAATCCAGCTGCAGGGTGGGTTGATGTACTGGACTGGACAAACTTAGCCACGCACTAAACCCCATGCCAATGAGTGGCAAACGGTCTGTTCTTGCTGGTCCTCTTCAGCAAGGCCCACCAGGCTGCGCTGGGCACGGGGTTAATAGTCAGAGAGAACTGGAGTTCCCTGCTGGGACTTGTTGCTGTTCTACCTGGCTTCTAGCAGCTGTGCAGGGTTGCCTCACCCAGCTCTGCTGACTCACGGGGAGTGAGTAGTACCTGCCCCATTTGAGCAGGGTTGATCTGCAGCAGAGGCCACTGACTGTGCTGCTGCCTGAGGTGATGTGTGTCAATAAGGGCCGGGAACAAACCCACGCTGTTAGCCCAGGGTTTGGTGCGGGCAGGCTTGGTTGGCTCAGCTGCTGCGACACCTGCCTGTCTTCCAGATCTTCGTCGACAACTTTGTGCACGCCGACCTGCACCCCGGCAACATCCTGGTGCAAGGCACGGCCCAGGCCAGCCCTGGTAGCAGGGAGCAGACGGCCGTGGTGGACCTGTGCGACACGCTGGTGGTGGAGGTGCAGCCGCCCCTGCGGCGGCTCTGCCTCGTGCTGCTGGATGCGGGGATCGTGGCGGAGCTGCAGAGTGCCGACATGCAGAACTTCCGCGCCGTTTTCACCGCTGTGGTCCAGGGCCAGGTGAGGCTGGGAAAGGGAGAGAGCCACGCAGCCCGGTGGGTAAAGCACGGTGCTCTCTGTTTCCCCTTACAATCCTCCTCGGGAGGGGAGAGGAGGCTTGCCAGCTGGGAAGCTATGCCAGGCACAGGGATGAGATGCTCAGCTAAAGCCAGGCTCCTCTTTCTCCTCCTTCACACTGTAAAATATGTTCTCAGATGGGCTAGAGAATCCAGTGCCGATGTGTCTGTTCATTTTGAGAAAAAGCATCTGTAATCATACTGGTGTGTTGCTGTTCCTCACTGTGGGTTGGATGGCCCCTCAGCATATCAGAGGGACACATTTTACCTTGGTCTAATCTGCTGAAGCACACCCAGAAGTCAGTGCTAAAATCAACATGTTCAGGCCCATTCTGTACTGCCAGACTTCTAAGCCAATAAGTAAAAACTCTGTAAGTTTTCTTGCAAGGCCTTCATGGCTGAGGTTGGGGTAATTTGTGATCTACAGGTGAAAAACTTGACACCAAATCTCCTTGCCATAGCTGGGCCACATCATCCAAGAGGAGCTGCAGTGCCACTCACAAGTGTAGCTTGGAGATGGTTCTTCCCCTCCTGCCTTGTCCTTTTCTTGCCAAATGCCCTGGTACAGAATCATCTCGCTCTTCCCTCCATGGTTTGCAAACAGAAGGTTGGACTTAGCCTGTAGGGAAGGGTTAATAGATGCCCTTCTTCGCACCACCTCATCTGTTGAGAAGAAAATGTTAATCCTGTGGGTTTATTCCCCCTTGCCCCAAAACTTTTAACAAAGATGGTCTCAGATATGTCCTCCCTTACAAGATCTGCAAGACTGACAGAGCAGGCCTTTGGCAGATACCAGCTAAGAGTTTTAGACCAGTTCCACATTTCCTGCACCCACTTCTGTTGTTTGTGTCCCTGTTGCTGGAAATGGGAAGCGTGGCCCTGGGAGTTCTCCCTACAGTGTGCCTCCTCCAGGAATCCACAGCAGAGGTTAACAGCGTGCAGCTCCCCGCAGGCCTGGCACCAGTGCTGCAGTTTTGCTGATTTTTCTTTTTCCCTTGTTTCACAGGGGGAGAGAGTGGCAGAACTGATCCTTCATCATGCCCGTGCTAACCAGTGCCAGGATATCGAGCGATTCAAATCCGAAATGGCAGAACTAGTGACCAAAGTCCGGGGGAACACCATCGCCCTGGGAAAGGCAAGTCCATGTACAGCTTCCCACCCTCACGTACCTGTAGTTCAGCACAACTTTGCTTTCAGAATGGGCTGGGTGGAAAGGCCAGCTGTGATCCCCACGGCACTACCAACCAGTACTTGGAGCTTTTAGTCCCTCGCATGGAGCAAAAGTCCCTAAAATCCTTTCTTACTTCCTTCTAACAACAACAACAAAGTGTTTAGTTTTTTTCTTAAATTTCTAACAAGAACCATGGGTCACAGCTGAACTCTTCATCTTGGGCGGGGTGGAGAGGATCATACTTTGATGTTGGCTGTTGTCACTAAATGCTAACAAACATTTAGAATCCTGCCTGTCATGCATCTGACTGTCTTGACCACAGTTTTTTTTGATCAGCTGCTAACTTCTCCTTTTCTGTTCCAGCTTCAAGTGGCAAATCTTCTCTCGAATGTCTTTAAATTATTGATGACCCATAAGGTGAGGTCCTCTTGCTGTCTGCCTTTAGCAGCTGGGAGTTATTTGGGGAGGTAGAAGTACTGGGATCATGAAGGGCTGTCGAAGTGGGGGACTGTGACTTCTGAAGTGAATGTCAAGGAGGGGGGCTGACAGAAGTCATGGAAGGGTTTTAGGCATGCAATTTCTCGAGTCCTGATATATATCCTACAAAGACCACCTTTTATTTTGTTGGATTTTGTCTTAATGCTACGTTTAATGGTTGATATTATTAGCTAAAAGGAATTTTATATTACATACTAGGAAATATTTAGTAAAGTGTTGCTATAAGATGTATTTTTTTTATTTTTTAAAATCCTCTTAGAAGTAGAAAAGGAAATCTAATGTAGGTTCCATTTATATATCCCTGCATACTTTCTTCCCTGAACTTTTCTCCATGTATCTTTATGTAGCAGCACTAGGCCACTTTGAGGGCTCTAACTTACCAGTAAAATGAGGATTTGCTCCCAGGAAGGAGATTCTTTCTTCTGACTTTCTGGGAACAAGCTCCTATGGCTGGAAACAGCCTTGGAAATCAACAAAGCCATGGTGACCTGAACTGGAGAGAAGGTTGTTTGTCAGCCATAGGCATACCCAGCCCGCAAAGGGTCCCTGTAAACATTCCTCAGTTAGAGCTCTTAGTCATTAAGACTCATTAAGCTGTTCTCCAGTAGCATGAAACGTAGTTGAGGCCCTTACAAAGCAATTCTTGCTCACATCTCCATGACTTCTTGGTGCCCTGGTATGCCTTAAAACAATCATAGTACTGGGAACTGGGGGCTAGTTTGTTTCCATGTAGAGCAGGGGGCTTTTTTTGTCCATGATAAGGGGAGCTCTTCTGTGGCCCTTCAGGAGGTGAGCTGCCCCTTACAAAACCGTATGTGTTCAGGTAGTTTGGATCCTACTGCAGTTTATAACCATGTTAGTGGTGGTGAGGAATCCTAAACTTCTGCTACTCCAGTGTGGGGAAAAAAAATAAAACAATCACCCTACTTGGAACTGAGAAGTAAACCCTTAGGTTCCCTTAGGGCACTTCCCCTGAAACTGTTACTTTTTGGACCTGCTGCTGGATTTCAGAGTGTTCTGAAACTCCAAATGATGAAGTTGCAGCATGGTTTCAGATGTACTTACAAGCTCTCTCCTGTTTCTCTCCTTCCCACTCTGTTTAGCCAGAGCTGGTACTTCTGTGAAATGGGCTCAGAAGAAAGGTCCACTGAGTTCATTCAGTCTCTTGTGGTTCTAGGTGAAGCTCGAGAGCAATTTTGCTTCCATCATCTTTGCCATTATGGTTCTGGAAGGTCTTGGTCGTTCACTGGACCCTGAACTGGACATCCTAGAGGCAGCTAAACCACTGCTCATCAAAAATGCAGCTTCTGTCCTCAAATAGACTTCAGCAGCTGCTGCCCCCTCGCTGTGCAGGGTTACCGGTGGTGCCTGCGAGCTGACAGAAAGAAGCTGAAGGTGAGGACACTCACATCTCGGGGAAATGCCATGTGGTGATTACTCTCCATTAATGTTGCCTCCAAGCACCAGTCAAGGGATGGTTGTAAGGCCTTCATCTTCCAGGAAGATTTCTCACAGATGGAGAGTTCTGACTCTTACGATTACCTGGTTCTACGAGCTAGTATGCTCTGCTAGTTTTTAACTGACATATCATGTAGTCCAGGCGTACAAGACCACTGCAGCCTGACAAGGAAAGCAGTTTTACTGGTCTAAAAGTCTTTAAAAAGATATTCAGTGATCAAGCTGGCTTGTTTTGAAATAAATCAGGTAAAATATTTTAAGTTAATTTACTCATCTGTCACTACAGTATGAGCAATGATGTTCTGACACCTAAGCAAGCAATTCAGGGTGAAAAAAGCCAGTAAGTCTCTTTGTATTTTGTACTTCAACTTCTACTTTTATTGTAGAAGTGTCCCGAGATCCTGCATGGAGTGGTCTGTTCTTGGTCATTTTGGATGATAAGAACAGACCAGCCAATTAGTTTTTTCAAACTCCCATACCCTAGCACTATACCGCAGGAGTTTGGATTATGGACAGTAAAAGAAAATATTTGACTTAATAGAAAAACTAATTCCATAATAAAAATATTTTTTTGGAATACTTGTACTGGTCTTGGTTTTTGTTGAAGTTTAAAAAAAAGTCTGTCCTCTCCCTCTGCTGCTGTCCCTTCCCTACCCCTGACACCGTCCTCTCCCCCCCCAACTTTCACCACAGTCAACTCAAAACCTGAACTAATATCCAAGTACTTGTTTTCTTCCCCCTCAGGTAGTTTGCAAAACAAGGAGTCCAAGGATTTTCCTAATGGATCAAAAACATTGTGAATGTTTAAATTGGATAATTAAAGTCATCATCAAATGAGTTAAGTCATACACGGCTTTTCAAGTCAATTATTTTAATAGTACTCTTAAAATTATTTTATGGCCTTATTTTTATGGTAAGAAACAGTCTGTGAATGATTGGAAATAGCATAATACTAAATAATTGCGGCCACGCAGGGTAGCTGCAGTAGTCTGTTTTCAGAGGGTTAAGCAAAGAAGAGAAAATACATATGCGGATGATTAGCTGTTTAATGGTGATTATGAAATAATGATTTATAATTGATATCTGAAAAATAAGTTTATCATTCTGTTCAGTGTATTTCATTTACTTTAATTACTAAATGCTTCATTTCCACATGATTGAGGATAAAAACCAGCAGAGAGTTTAATAGTAACGTTTAAGATTTAGGCATGTTTTTGTAAGTCTAGGCAGACTTAAACTCATAGCTGGGTACATTATTGTCCTAACCAGTATGTGATTTTGAGTAGGACAACTGTCTTCATTAAAAAAAAGAGTCAAAGTACCCCTATAGTTTACATTAAAGACAAGCTCCATGTGCGGCCAGGACCCCCTCTCACCCAGCAGTGTGCATCCCCCCAGCTGGCACAACAGCTGGGCACAGCGCTCTGCTGTGTTCTCAGCGGTTATGCAGGTCTTAGGCACAGCCATCATGACATTCCCCAACAGCACGTGTCATCCAACTTCATCCAGAGGCTAAACAGAGCTTAACCAAATGGTAGGCTTCAGTGTCTAAGAGGCAGAGCTGTGCCTCACATGGCATTTGCAAATACACAGCAAGATGCAATTTTTTCAGACCTCAGTGAAAAAAAAAAACAAAAAAACACAAAAGAAACAATCCTCAAGACCTTTACTTTATACTTGCGTTCCTCTTTTTCCCCTTTTTTTTTTTTTAAAATGAAAACCTCAGAATGCTTCATGTGTATTATGGATCCTAAATTTAAAGATACTCCTTTTAGCCATAAAGACCTTAGAATAGTCAGTAAACTTTGGGATGAGAGATCTAGTCTAAACCTTAACTTTGGGGGGAAATCTGAAGGCATAACCTCTCAGTTATTGCAGGAGGAACACAGTCTGAGATTTAGTGCTAAGAAACTGCTGGCCATTCAAAAGACAAAGCAGAATTTCAAAAGAGCTCCCTTTTGCAATAATACCTGCACTCTTTGCTGACTGATAGTCCAGAAGGTATTTTACACGTTTCTGTATGTACGCAGAATGTCAGGCAACAGCATTTAAATTTCATATCCAGTCTGGTTCTGGGTAGTACTTCAAATTCATTTTATATCTTAGCACACTTCCTTAAAAAATAAAAACTCCCTTCAATACAGCTTTAAGTGCTTCAGCAAATGGTGCCGTGTCCATTCTCATTTCCTAAATACCCGTGTGAATTATATTGTTTGCTACCCAAAGTTGATAAAAACATTCTCTGTGACACTGCTGCTGTATTTTATATCTCTGATGATATGAGGACGAGGTACAGCATTTCAGGATGTGACAATAACCTCCTCCTCCCCTTTGCAAACAAAGGCACTGCCACTAATCAGCGTACAATATATTAGAAACACATCTCTTCTCCCCTTTCCTGTTGTGTAAAAGCATCTCTTGGTGCGTCTTAACATTTCTTTTCTGTGGAAGGGAAAAGGTGGCAGCACGTCCCTGGGAGCAGCTAACGCCACGCTTCACTAAGGAAAGGGAGTCATGCGCTTCAAACAGGGGAGTGAGGAGTCAGTTGCATCCTCAACTCTGTTGGTAACTAGGTTTTCACCTAGTTTCCCCTCTCTCAGAAAAAAAAAAAGTTTCCTTTATGCCTTTTGGTTTTCCATAAGTGATTCTTCCTCTAGGGAAATGGCCTGCATATTTTGAAGAATACTGACAGTGGAGGGATCTACACTCACCTGCAGCCCAAGCGTGATGGTTCCAAGCTGTCCTACCAGCTTTTCTGAAGGACCTCGCCTCTTACCGGGTTCCTGCCCTGCCACCTGCAGCAGCTCTGGACCCACAGCACTTCTGGCAGGAGTAGCACAACTTGACTTCTTTCCATGGATCTCTGCAACTCACGTGCGATGGGACACTTGCAAGAGTCAGTTGATATCTCTGTTGTGTTTTAATACATTGTTTTTTCATCCAGCTGGTCTCCAGCTTTCCTTCCCCATATTTCACGTGATGTTAACGTCACAAGGTAAGTCATACGCCAGCATCATATAGCTTTACTTTCTATTTTGTGTTGTCCTTGACCTTTAAGAAATGTGCTCTTCTGGCCCTGTTCTGGAAGAAACAGCAGGGCAGAAAGCCCCTGGAATTCACCAGGGGAAGTTTTTTTCAGGCCTGTATTTAATTCCCCTTCCAGCTTGTACAGTGGGACATAATCTGTGCCAATGGCCATGCTACCTTCATGTTAAGTACCAGCGTAGCTCAGGGTTGCAGATTTGGGTTTCTCAGTGTGGTTTCTGCATACGCCTAAATCCAAAGAAGAGTTTGACAGAGGCAGGGGTCTACACAATGGCCAGAACAGTAGCCCCAGGAAAAAAGATTGGTAAGGGACAGAGCACTGAAAATGGGTGCTGGCTGCAATGAAAGGGGCATAGAAGATTTCTCCATGAGTCCTAATTCCATTTGTCACAGCTGCACTCAGGCACGCAGCCTGCAGCACAGTGCCATACACTGAGGTGCAGAACGGGTTTGTGAACCGATCAGCACCTGCTTACCCACTCTGCTGTTTCCTTATGCAAGCAGTGATGCCCGGAGCATCAAAAGATTCTGTTCCCTGAGGTACTGCTGAAGGTCACAGTGCTTTTGGTCTTCTTTTTGCGCCTTCTCCTGTGAATGGTGTCTGTTCTGGAACACTTTCCTTTTGGCAGCCTGGTGCTGCTTTTGTTGCCTGTCTTGCTCCTGTGAGTCTTGCTTCTGCATTTGCTGCTGTGACTGCATTCTGCTCTTCAGAAAATCCTATGTAGAAATAATGACACGTACAATTGCAAAGCCAGCTTTTAGTCAGAATATCATCTACAGTTATCACTGGCATAGCTCAGAAAAGAGGGAGCTGGACAGGCTGGAGAAATGGGCCTACATGAAACTCCTGCAGTTCAGCAAGGCCCAGGTGCTGTCCCAAACATCAGCACGGACTGGGGGCTAAACAGATTGAGAGCAGCTCTGCAGAGAAGGACCTGTTGACATTGCCTGTTCACATCCAATTTTTCATCCACCAATGTGCACTTGCAACCCAGAAGACTAACTATACCCTGGGCTGCACCAAAGTCAGTGAGGCCAGCAGGGCGAGGGAGGGGATTCCGCCCCTCTGCGCCGCCGCTACCCTGGACCCCTCCCAGAGCCCTGCACTCAGCTCTGGGGCCCCAGCAGAAGGAGGACATGGAGCTGTCAGAGTGAGCCCAGAGGAGGAGCACAGCGCTGATCAGAGGGCTGGAGCACCTCTCCTCTGCAGGGGATTTGATCTAGATGATCTTTAAGATCCCTTCCACCCCAAACCATTCTATGACTCTATATAATAACCTGGGAAAATTCATTCCTTGCATGCAGAACGACTGCTTCTATGACAGATACAGAAACGTTCAATTCCCATCTTTAATCTTTATGCATGTTAAAGAAAAAGTTAACGTTCAAAAGTTCCTTTGATGTATCTCCAGGTGATGTAATTGTATTGGATACAAAATGACAAAGACTCCAGATGGCGCCACAGTTGGAAACACAGTAGTAGTACAGGTAAAACTTTACTGAAATTGCCCTTACCAGCCTTTCTTTCTCCTGTTCAAAGCTCCTCTCATTGCGTTCTGCAAGCAATTTCTCTCTCTGCAATCGCTGTGTCTGTAAGGACTGCAGCCTCTCACTTGCCTTTCTGTTCTCCTCCTCTGACAAGAAGGATTCCTTCCTGCTCCTCTCTGACCATGCTACTTGAAGCAACGCGGTGCGCTGCAAAGCTCTTTCTTCATGCTCCAGCTGTTTCTCCAACCCTTGCAACATTCTCTGATGCAATCGCTGCCTGTTTCCAAAACAAATTTTCTCAAATTTCTCAGAAAATAAAAGCAATCAAAAAAAATAAAGTGCGTAAAATGAAAAGCAGATATTCTGGCAATCTGTGCTCAGTTAATATTACAGGACTCTGTTACATTATGAAGATTAAGGCTGCATCCTAAACAGAAGTGGCAAAACCCCAAAATGGGCTGGTGCCTGATGTGAGCTAACTACAGCCATGTGCTCACTTGACTACGTAACCTGGTGTGGTTCTGCGTTCTTGGGCCTGAAGACCAGGAGCCAAAGAAATGGATTGCAGGACAAAAGGCGGTAGGACACATCCAGGCAACTGGGTGGCTCTGTGTACTGCTGGTGGTGCCACAGGGGCAAGAGAAGAGATGGAAAGAGGAAGAGTCATGGGGGCAAGGACCTGCTAAGAGCAACTGGGCTGTGGGGCCAGAGGCAGGGGTGGGGGAGGCAAAAGGTCTCTGGCTCTGAGGATGAGATTGAAGGGAATTTGCCCTCGAGCTAATGCTGAAGGCTATGGGTCCCTTGGTACCTCCTCACTCATGTGTGGAGCATTAATTTTATTCCCATTAGCAAACCATCATGACCACTCTGCAGGCTCTAGCATAACGTGCCAACGCGTGATGTTCAGAGACTGAATGAGAGCACCAAGGAGTGGAAATCACTAATAAATGTCAGATGGTTGGCAAAAGCAAACAAAATAAAACAGCTCCTAGGTATTACCTCTGGTTGTTCCGGCGTAGCTGGCGTCGGAGAGCTTCTTCCTCTTGCTGCTGTTGCCTCTTCTGCTGCCTCTCTTCTTGTTGCCCCCTTTTGTGCTCAATCTTGGCTCTGTTGAGGTCCATCTCTTTCCATCTCTCTTGAGATGCACGGTTAAGGACTGATTTCTAAGAAAATAAAAATAACCCTGTAGATACTACAGATTCCCTATCAGACCTTATTAGAGAAAGAAATATCTGCCTCCCTCTATATAAGGGAAGGAGCAGGAAACATCACCAGTACTTAGACATGCATTCTAGTTATGGTGCTAGAGATGTTTAGAGCAAAAACAGAGCTTCCACACAGTATTTTGCTCTCTCACATGCATTCTCCCTTCTACTCCCAGCAAAAATTAGCACACTCTTGCCATTAGCCACTCTTCTGAAAACATAACATCTCCTTCCAGGTCTTTCTGGAGGACATCTCCAATATCATGAGCTGGGAAACCCTACAGGACCTTCAAACAATGTCCACTGCCTCCTTCTGATCACTGTTCCTGGCAGACTCACATAGCATTTTGACAAAGATCAGCTTGTTAAGAGAAATCAGCGACTTCCTAGGCATAAGAAGAACCTTTGTTCTTCAGCATTACTGTTCTTTGTAAAATTGCACCCTGTGAGTGGCTTGTGATTAATGGCTTGAGGAGGGAAAGATTGAAAAAAAAATAAATCCAAGATGTTTCATAGGTGGGAGATGAACAAATAGTGTTATCTACAGGTAAGGACTGGCCTAAGGATCAGGAGACTTGAGGTTCCACCCCAGCCCTGACGTGCATTCCCTGACACGAAATTCAACTGGTTAGCTAGACTTTCTCTTTTTTCCTCTCAGGATCTGTAAGAGATTAAGAATTATTTCCTATCCGGTAGAGTTGGTTGGAAAGTTAATTTAGGAAAGATTACATCTAAAATAAAATAATAACAATAAAAAAACTATCAGAAGTGCAGAGCACAAATACCAGAAGTGCTGTGTTCCTGTCCATCTTTGACTCCCAAGTGGAAACTTTATATTTCTATTTAGGCATTATAGCCATTATTTTACATGTGCGTATATATATATATATATATATATATTTTTTTTTTTTCAGTCAAAACCTTTGAGAAAGATCAAATGAGAGTATACTCTCACTTGACATAAACAAATCACCCAATCCTAATAGCCAAAAACTGGTTTGGACAAGTACTTACCGTAATGCTTTTGTCCTTTAGAAGATGCAGGAGGTTTGTGGATCTCCTAGCCCGCGCACTGGAGGTGCTGTGTGGCCTCTGTACACGCAGAGCTGACTCAATGGCCAGCCTGTCTCTCTCCAGGGATTGATTCACTCGGTCAAAGAAGCTCTGTCGCCTGAAAGGACCCAAAGCACTGCTTCCCAGGGAACGGCTCCTTTGGGAAGGCTGGATTAGAGCTTCTGCCTCTCTGGGCTCAAAAAGGCCTGTTAGATAAATTAGAGCAGGGGCATATGAAGTTATAGGTAACTTATAAAAAGAAAGCAGATAAAAGAGAAAAAAAAGTCTTTTAACATAAAATACGTTCAAGCAAGACTTTTATAACTAAGTATCAACATTTTCCTCTGATGGAGTGAGACATTTCTTAGTCTCCCCAGATCAGGTCCCAGTGTTCAAAAAACAAGCTTACCTTTGCCATCAACCAAGATTTTTTTTTTTAAAAGATCACTTTAACACAAGACCATTGAGTACACTTACAGCTACTCAGTTTAAGGTTTGTTTATGTGGCGTTTTGCAAACAGACACGAGCATCCTCTGCCAGTGCTCTGAGACAACCAACACTGATATGTTTCTTTACACTGCAAAGCCTAAGCTCTAAATCCTGCTGAGAGACAGGAGAAAATAGCTTGGGTACAAAATTGTGCTAACGCAGTTACCTAGCTTTTGGGTGACTGAGAACATGAGCAGAGTTTGCTTGCACCTTCCTGCTAAGGACAGCATGGACTTGAGCAGCACTTACTGCATGGAATGATGGTGGAACGCCCCCTGGGAGGACACGTGCCTTTCTGTGACTCACTCCCTCTAACAGCACTGTCACAGAGCACTACAGAAGCTGTAATACTTGGAGAAAGCTTTGGGCTTACAGAATCCTTACTGAAATGCTTACATTTGTCACAAAGCTGGCTTAAATGAGGATGGCACCAGCTTCATTAAAAGCATGATCCAAACCATTTTGAGTGACAGGGGAACAGAAGTTTAATCAATGACATTATAAAGTAATTACTTAATAAGAGGAGGAGTGTTTCCTGCTTGAACAGTCCTGGTGAAATCACTGTTATCTGTAGTCATAGCTAACATTACAGACGAATTTTTAAAGTAAGGTATTCATAAAAATATGTAAGACTTCCATCTTGAGAGAAAGACGAACAGCTTCTCAACCCAAGCTGCCACTACCAGCTACATACTGCATTACGCTGGCTGTACGCAGCACGGCATTACGACATTCTCTTTCGATGCATCAAGAACTATGGCCATAGAACATGCTGGCCCGCTGCAATGATTTTTTTTTAGCCATTTTTATATTTGGATAAAACAGCTACGATTTCAGTACCGTGTTTGTGTTTAAAATGAGCGTCAGTTTCAGCATCCTGGTGTCTGCTGCCTGCTTCCTCCTCGCGGACTGCCTCCGATAGCCAGCTGTCCGTGCTGACAGCAGCATCAACCATAGTAACGTGAGCTGGCTCCCTCTGGGGACTCTAGAAACAAGGAGAAATGCAATCGTAATCCAGGCCTGATAAGGAAAAGTTGGTTTCGTGAACTTGCAGTGTGAGATGTTATGCTGCAACTCAAGTTTGAGAGAAAAAAAAACACATGGGAGTTCTTTACCAAAGAAATAAAAAACTCTTAAATAGTTTCTGATATTTTTTTGTTTTTCTCCACATCTTAAAATGATCTAAAAAATGACAATACTACTGCCTTGGAGGGTCTAAAGTGGCACAGCGAGATCAGGCCAGAGGAGCTCTGGCAGGAAGACAGCTTTCCAGGCACATGCCAAAAATCCACATTATAAGAGCAGTGGAAAAAAGCTTGGCAGTAGTTGGTGCACATAAACCTCCTCCTTGCTGACCCTCGCCCAGCACCCTGCTCACACGCACCACAACAACTACGAAGGATCACAAAAGGCCTTTGATTCACAGGGGTGATGCCTCTGCCATGGTTGAGAAATATTGTAACAAAATTATGCCAGGGACTGCCCTGGTGTTGAGGACTCCTTACTGGAATCTTTATTCAGTGTGAAGTTTTTTGTCTGACACTTTTTCCTGCTTTTATGGAGAGGAGCTGGGCTACACAACACTCCTCAGATCCTGCATCTGTGGAAGAGGTTTTAGGAGTCCGCTCCAGCCAGTGATAAAAAATGACAGCTTCTAGCTGTTCCCCAGATCAAAGGATTAGGAAGACAAAGGGGAGTAAAGTCAGAGAGTCTCCATTATATAGCCAGCATACACAAGGGTCACACCCAAAACCTATTGTAATTTTTTGGTACCAAGAGCAGAAAAGGTAAGGTAACAAACTAGAAATTATACAATAGCAGACTCCATGCTAAGAGACAGCATGAAGCACTTTGTACCTTCTTAGGATCTAAAACCTCCTTATCCTCTTCCAAACAAGACTCAGAATCTTTTGGAGCATTTTCTGCCTTCAATCTCTTCTCTTCCTTTTTCTCTTCCTCTCTGGAAACACTTTCCGAAGAGGAAATCCTCACTTCAGACAGCTGCTCTTCTATTTTCTCGCTGAGCTCTTCTTTAGCGAAGCTTGCTCCTGGCATGAAGCCACCTTCTTGCTGCACTTTGTGCTCTGGGGGCTGAGGGCGTTCGCAGGCTGCCAGGCAGCAGCGGGGAAGCAAGGTGCACCTACAGCTGCACGTAGCACAGGGCTGAGCCGAACACGGACCCCTTGGCCAGCACTCCAGAGCTGAGTGACCCTGTCTGCGACACCCTGAAGGTCTGTAACCTGGTGTCACGACGTAGGGGTAATCCCAGCTGGACTCCACCACCATCTGCCTGGCCGCCAGAGGCATCTGCAGTTCCAGGATGATGCGCTCGCTGAGGGGCAGGGGGATGCGCAGGGCTCGGTCAGGAGGCACCTCCTTGGTCTGCCCGTTCCAGAAACTGACAAGCACTCCCTGCCGATTTTGTGCTGAGCACGTTAGAAAAAAGGGAAAAAGCATTAGAAACATGGCAACCCACGTGATGCATCTCCTAGAAACCAGCAAATAAAGGAGCAGCACCAGTTACAATTTTGTAGCACCTTACATGACTTTTTCTTTAAAGGTTTAGAATTTGTCCTTTTAAGTTTCCTCTGAAGAGGCAAAAGATGACAAAGCTCTTGCTAGCCAGAGCGAGCCAGGATTTCATCCTGCCAAAGCTGGACACTAGACTAAGAGATTATCAGGTGAAACTCATGAGGGCCAGGAGCATTTTTCTCCGTGTTGATGAGATGACCCCACCCCTCCCAACAAGCCCACCTTGGTTTTTTTTAGGACATTTCCCACTCACAGAACCAAACAAAGGCTAATTCTGGGGTGGTGTTAATTCTAGCACTGAAAAGGAACAGGATGCCTGGGCCAACAACAAGACAAGGAAGAGAAACCAAGCAGCAGGTGGTGAATTCTCCATGGCTGAGGCTGTTCTCTCCTCTCTGTATCACAGCCAGCAGCTGTGGCGAGTTTAACACTGATTGGGAAGCCAATACCTCGTACCTGAGTGTGCCTCCTCGTTCTCCATAACCTTTAGCACAGTGCCTGGGCCAAACCGCTCAGCTTTAGCCTCCCACGGTGCCAGGACCCTGTCTCCTGGAGCGAGTGGCTGTCGCCTGGCATCCTCATAGTGGAGGATGTCGTAGAGAGGCGTTTCCTGCAGGCGAAGCTCCACCTTGCCTTTCAGAGCACGACTTCTGTCAAACTCGATCACAAAGCGTTCCCTTGAGCCCTACAGGAGTAAAGCATGCAGTTTGCAAGACAGACATCTGGGGCCAATTAACAGCCAAACACAAGTGGTGAGAGGGAAATGACAGAAATCCCAGGAAGCAGAACGTGATCTGTGAAGGCTGTTGTCCTCCTCCACCAGGTTTTTCACTGTACCGTGTCCGTGTTGGACTTTAAAGTAATTAAAAAGCTGGCGCTGAAGGGGCTTGACAGTCACTCTCTTCCTTTCCTTTTGGACTTGGAATTTAGTAGGCTTACCTGGCTCAGATGAGCAGTCAGCATCCTAAGAAAGAGCCTTGCCAGGAAAACCATCCACCCAAGTAGCCAAAAGAACCTGCTGCATGTGATGCAGCTAGTTACGTCGTAATCAAAATGACAGGAAACCAGTAAAAATTCAGTAAAATTCAGCCATAGCTGCCACAAATTTGAGTACTTTAATTTAAGCCTCCAGCAACGGGTGTGGGGCAGATTCTACTGTGAAAATCTCAGCCTTCTCTGTAGGTCTTTGAGAGGCCTTACACAAATAATGCTGTTAGCCAACACCTGTTCCACCCCACGCAGCTATACTGGCATCACCATTTATTTAACTAGCCCCTGAGCTGGAAAATGGACTGGATTTTTAAAGAAAGCTGGGCTGCGCAGTGAAAGCAGATAAGAGGGATATGAAGGACCTGCTTAGTTTGTCTCATAACCCTGAAACTGATTGATTTCCAGGCTGCTTCTGTGTGCAGGACTCTTCCCAGTAAGCAGCCAGTCATGATCACAAAGAGAAGATGAAGGTAGGGTGTGGGGAGAGAACTGCAGTCACAAAGTGTGCAGGCTCACAGGAGAGCCGCCCCACAGCAGAGCCATGGTGAGGCACAGGAAGGACAGGAGAAAAGCCACACAGAGCCCAGGCAGAGCGCTTTAGAAGCGCAGTTCCCAGCGAATAGCTACCTTCACCTCTTGTGCAACGTGGCCCAGGTAATAGTAGCCATCAGCCTCTCTCCTTGCCAGCACACGAGCCCCCCTCAGGAAACTGGAAGCCTCTGAGGATGGATGAATGCAATTCCTTTTTTCTGAGGATACCGAGGGCATGCAAAGGGAATCTGGGTTCCAGGCGCAAACAGGAAAGCTGTAGGAAACAAATCCAGTTAAAGACTGTGGTGGTGGAACTTCTGCGGCTTGCTGCAATGGAAACAAACTAAACTGACGTGGGATCTCTCTAGCCCTCCCCTGCCCTGCACACCTGTGTTTGTTTCCAAGCTTTTTTAGTCCCCTGCATTACCAGTGACCCACCTACAGCTCTTGAACTTACTGTGTCAGGGGCCATCCTGGCAGCTCAGAGCCAAAATGCTCTTTATTAGCCGAGTGCCAGCACCGCGCGTGCGGGATGGGCATGGAGCCTGCCTGGAGGGGGAAGCAGACGGAAGAAGAACACGAGCAGGGCTCCTGAACACTCGGATCCCTGAAGAGGAGCAGTATTTTTGCACTAGAAGCTCGCTTTCCAGCGTGATTCTCCAGCAAGCGCGAGCTGGGCGCTGAGCGACGGGCGCAGGAGCCGGGCAGGGCTGGGCTCAGCCGGCACCGAGCGCCGCTCCCTGCCAGGCTGCGCCCCTCAGCAGCACCCGGGGGCAGCCTGAGCCCTGCGGGGACCCCCCCGCGTTATCTGGGCTCCTCCTCGGGGCTCCCTGCCCGCCGTTCGTGGGCGCCCGCGGTCCCGGAGCTCCCCCGGCCCCGGCTCCCCTCAGCGCCCCCCGGCTCCCCTCAGCGCCTCAGCGCGCACCGTTGCTACGCGACCGGGCACCTCGGGCTGAACCACCTGCGCACTCCGGGGGGGGAGCAGCGGCTGTTCCCTCAGCCCTTCCCTAACATCCCACACCCGTTCCTCTCTCTGTACTCTTATAGAGAGCACTTGAATAGCGGAGGCGGCTTCGCTGCTTTCTCTTTGCCCTCCGTGCCCAGAGCCAGCCCCGAGGAGCAGGAAATTCCGCCCGTCCCCCCCTCCCGGCGGTGCGTTGGTGCCGGCCGGCGCTGAGGCGCGGTGCGGTGACCTTGTGGGGAGCGGGGCCGCCATGTTGGCGTCGCTGGGGCGCTGCGCGGGGCGGCTGCTGCGGGCCGGGGGCACCGGGAACGGGCTCGGCACCGGGCTCGGGCGGCGGCAGTGAGTGGGGAACGGGGCTGGGACGGGATGGGGTGAGCCGGGCCAGTCGGTCCGGGTCCGTGAGCGAGGCGCTCGTTGCAGTGCGGGCGGCGGGGTGCACATCGAGCCGCGGTACCGGCAGTTCCCGGAGCTGACGCGGGCGCAGGCGGTGCGCAGCGAGCTGCTGAGCGGGCTGATGTGGTTCTGGATCCTGTGGCACATGTGGCACAGCTCCGACATGGTGCTGGTGGGTGCGCCGCGGCCGCGGCGGGAATAAGAAGGGAATTAAAAAAAAAAAGGGGGAAGGGTTGGGGGGGGGGGGGGGGGGGCGGCCGTGTCGTGACAGCGCCTCGCGACATGGCCGCAGGGCCACTTCCCGTACCCCGACCCCGCGGCCTGGACGGACGAGGAGCTCGGCATCCCCCCGGACGACGCGGAGTAGGAGCCGGCAGCAGCGCGGTACGGCCCGGCCCTGCCTCACGGACCCCGCCTGTAGCCCCCCACCTGCCCCTCAGGGGGGGTTCTCCGCAGGGATCGGGGAAACCGGCCCCTGGAGGCAGCAGGGGATCCGCTGAGGGGTCTCCTCCTGCCTCCGCCCTGAGACAAGTGGCAAAAAGTTTCTCTGGAGCCTCTTCTCTCGTTTGCAGGTCTGCGGAACTGAAGCAATCCCTGGAATGAAGTCTCTGTTTCTTCTGTCCAGGTTTCAATAAAAGAGAGTCTGAGTTAAACCATACTTTGTTTGTGGGTGCTGTGGAGCTTCTGGAGAGCTGCCCTGCAGCTCTAGAGGTGGGGCACTTGGGCCTGAAGGAGCCCCCTGTGATCATGGCTTAATGAATAACACACCCCCCTGGGCACTGAGGTCCACAGCTGGAGGGTGAGGTAGAACTTGCATGAATGCTCAGCAGGTACAAACCCTGTCACTAAATGTCTGCCAGACAGTAAAAGGGGTGGTGGGGAGTAGAATTCCCCTGTTAGAACAGCAGAGGAACTAATTGGAAAGACCTTTTGCTGACATTTTTTCAACAAAACCTGCCCTGAGGCTCCTCCCATCTTGGAGTAACAGTTTGTGTAGGAGCAGAAGCAGCTCTTAAAGAGAGGCCAACTTGTGCCAAGCTTTCCCTGGAGTGAGGGGTAAATTCTGAACCAGAATCTACGACCGGAGTTCAGAATAAGCATTTTGAAGTGAAACCCTCTCTGAAGGTAAAAGTGCTGAGCACAGCTTTCGAAGAAGAAACAGCCCAGCATAAGAAAGGCAAAGGGAGGCGAGTTTCTCTCTGGGCACAGAGTTATATTCTAAAGTAACTGTTTAAAAGTTTGTTTGTCTAAAAGCTAATTCTGAAGTTAACTTTTCACTCATGTTGAGTGACCCTGGCTGCACCTCTGGAACTTCGCTGAGAGGCCAAGTTGTGAATTCCATGACAAACCATCTCCTTCAGACTTTTCCATGCAGTCAATCTTTATTATAGCAGTATTCTCATATTCACATCAAGTACATAGAACTTTTTGCCTTTTATATAATACAGAGTTCTTTAAATAACTTTACACAGAAATAGTTTTCTTCAATCTGAATTCAGCTATCAAATTTTATTATGTTTTAAGTCTCCATGCTCTCTAACCAAACTGGACAATATTTCCCATTGTACAAATTTACATGAGAAAAACTCCAAAATACAAATGAAGGGACAACAAAAGTAAAGGGGGGAAGGAACAAACAAGAAAAGTAAGTTGTATTGGCAATTACAGGGGAAACGTGAGAGGGAAAGAAGGGGAGTTGCCATGACCTATACGTAACAGAAAACTGAAAATAAACATTTTGTTATGAATTAAAAAATAAATACAAGTTTCAAAACAATTACTCCATTGTAAGATTTTAAAAAGCAGCTATGGAAATCTACTAACACAATTTTTTTTTGTGTTTTTGTTTTTTTTTTTTTAAGTAATCAGACTGGACCTTCTACTTTGCAGTCATAAGCCCCTTGCAAACCTCCGGTGGTCAAAGAGAATACAGCTGAAAGGAATGTTGTGTTAGCACAGAGTTTAAGTTGTTGGGACATACACGTCATTGCACTAAGAAACAAAAAAAGAAATCAAATCTGTATATAAATTTCCCTTTCCTCTCCTTACTACTTTGCCTCTCATAAACGAGCCTCTGTATTATGAGGTAATGCCATTGTCTTGACTATATATAAAAATAATCAAGTTTAAAGGATATAGATCTGTTTGTCTATAAACTTTAAACGAGCCAGTCCTTTCTTACGCCCCCGTGGGGTCTGATGACCGAGTGCTCCACCTTCCATCGCTTGCCCATGCGTTAAGCCTCCCGGGGAAGCCCCCCAGCCTGCTGCACCTTTCCTCACCCAGGAAAAGCTGCGCGCACTCGAGTAAGAAAGAGAGAGTGCAACTTGTGCAGGGCTGATTCCAAACGGGTGCACCTGCTCCTTCCGAACAAGGCAGCGTCACACAAGGCAACAGTGGCCAGTCTGCATGTGTGTGCTGACATGGGGGGGAAAAAAGGGACCCAGCGGGCAGCTGATGACTGATTACTTTTTGCAACTGCTGAAGAATAATGTGCCAACTGCTCAGCCCTGGGAGATGCTCAGGAGATGGGACACGGGGTGGGGAGTTGCGGCTGAGGGGTGAAGTGGGGATAGCACGGAGCCCCCATGGGCTGGCTCCAGCGGCACAGGTCAGCGCCGGCTCCCAGGGGAGTTTTAGGGGCAGGACTTCTCCCCGGTCCCAACAGGTGAGAGTGGGGGAAAAGCCGTGGTGTGGTCTGGGTCACCAACACATGCAGGTCGGCCACTGGCAGGTTTCTGTCAGTTGAGGAGTGCGGAGAGGGGGGAGGAAGGGGAGGCAGGTAGGACACAAGGCTCACAGAGGAATGATGTGCATTTTTTTTTCTTTCCTTTTTTCCCCCCCCTAAAGGTTCACAGCTTTGAATAAAAAAGCACATTTATTGCACTTACGTTTTATTTTAGACAGAGTTAATTTAAATTATGCCCTCACAATCTCTCACCGTCCCAAAATAACCCGACACCCGAGTTTGGTCCATTTTGCCCCCCAGACCCAACGTCTGTGCCCAGGTGGTGGGCTTCATTTCTTCTCCTAAAACGCTCCATGACACTCCCAAACACACACACAGATTTGCTTTTCAAGTAGGGTGATTACACAAATGCAACACAGAATGACATTTAGCAAACCCAAAACGAACCATTTTTCAAACCCAACCGAAAAAAAGAACACGTAATCCTTTGCTTTTCTGTTTTACTCAGAAGTCACTGTCACCCAGGGCTCATTCTCAAGTACAGCTGCTGCCAATGCGGTACGCTGGGCTAAATGTCTGCACAGGCCACGGCTCCTCTGAAGGAGACGGGATGAGCTGAACACACCGCTGCTGCCACGCCATAAAGCTCACGCCTAGGTAATTCAGCAGCTCCTGAGCGCTCCCATCAGCTCCCTTCTCTTGGCAAAGCAGGGAAATGACTTTTGTGATTTTGTGTTTGAAAAAAGACAACCCCCCCCCAACTCTTTTAGTGCAGAATTTGAAGTCGGTAAAAGGATTCCAGATAGTTCCTGCAATGTTAGTAAAACCTTTTTTTTTTTTTTTAAATATACTTTGATTTCTAAAAGGGACAAAACCAAGTTAAAATCAGCCAAATATTTGCACGAACTGTGCATTTAGACATAACTGAGATTTACAATTATATCCAAAATCTTGCACCAAAAAAGAAAAGGGAAAGATCTGCGAAAGAAAAAGCACTAACACCAAAAGCCGTTCTTTCGTCCTTCTGGACAAATAGGTTACAACTGGCACCCGTGCGTAGGTACTGCCAGAAGCCTCTGTAACCAGACTGAAACTTGAGCAAACTGGCACACGCTGGCTGTCCCTCGCTGACACGACACCCATCATCTCCCAGGGCTAACGTGCAGGAACTGTGCATTGCTGGGGAACTGCGAGAGGCCTGAGGAAGAGCTAAGGAAGCCTGATGATATTCCATACAGCAAAATTAATCGCGCTTTCCAGGCCAGGGAGTTCACTGTACAACCTGATATACGTGGCCTTTGATTACAGGAGTCCTAGCCATCAATTCCTCCTAATCTAGTTCTCACTTTTCATCCACCGTCTCATTCCAAGATGTCACGATAGTGTAACCCAAAGCTTTACATTACCTTTTTTTGACACTATCTTTGTGTCTTTGGAGGGGGAGGAGGGTTTATTTATTTAAATTAAATGAACCTCACTCAATTTTCAGTAGAGCAGGTTTCAAGTAGCAGGTTTACTGTAACCGAATCAGCATCCTTCAGTCCCTAGCTCTGACATGACTGCAGGTGTTTTGGGGAATGCTCTCTGCTCTCCTCGCTCCTTTACAGGAGTTCACCAGCTCCCAAATGCCTACCTATATTAACAGCTATATACAAGACTACTGCATCAGAAGTAAACCAAAGCCACTGCTCTAGTTCGAAAGCACCTGGTTTACATTCTGTTGTACTTGGTAGGTTGCGAAGGCACATGATCATTTGGCAAACTGCAAGACTTTTGGGGGGAATCCTATGTAAACCATTTCACAGAGGGTCTCGGTAGCTCTCTTTTCTGAAGAAAAGATACATGCTAGTTTTCACTTGAATTCATTCTTGGTATCCTCTCTATTCTGCAGTTTTAAAACAGTTTCCTCCCTCCACAATTTTGTCATTATTTACTGCTGAATTATTAGCTTCTACATTAGCATCCTCGAAACTTAAATTCTCTGCTCTTTTGATGATTTTTACTTGGTAGGAGGTAATGAAGCAATGACGAAAGATACTTAAAAATGCATGCCGAAACAGACACGAACTGCAAATGCATATTAACAAGGCTGCAGTAAACAGTTTGTTTCATAAGCTTCTCTGTAAAAGGAGTAACAGAAACACCCAGCACCTTCGAAGCGATGCCGTAACAGTCCGTTCATGCAACTGGTTTTTAACCAAGCTTGACTGTACCTAGAAGCTTTGCCTGTCAAATTGTGCTACTGGTGAAAGGTTTTCTCAACAGATAGAAGACATTGCCTACAGTACTATGAATAATTTGTGCTACACATGCTGTACTCACAGTTAAGAAGGGAGTTCAATTTATAGCCTGTAAAGGTGTGAAATGTCTACATGCCTCTTCCCTAAATCTAACCCCGCTTCACTGATCAAATCCTCAGGTTGACTTACACGTGACTGTAAGGTTTCTGAGGACCTGGCTTCCCCAGATATTCTGCTAAATTCTGGATGCGTTCACATCGCCAGGCAAACACAGAAGCAAACCTATTTATGCATGACCTTCAGCATCTTTTCCACCCTGTTGGGGCATTTGTGGAAGGACATGGTATTTATCAACAGCCAGCATTTCGTTCATTGTAGATCATCAAGGCCAAATTCTGCCTCTGATGGGCATGCACTAGTCCAAGTGATGCTGAGAGGCCACAGTAAGATGGCAGCGCCCGGCCTCATTTATTCTGCATCATCATCGGCTGCTGAAGCATTCCAGTACAAGAAAAGATGATTTTAGGTAAGCATAAAAGGCAGAAGTGGATGCATTTAATGCCTTGCATGAGTTCAGGGAAAACAACAACAACAAAAACCCAACCCTACTGAGCTAATTGTATCTGGGGCCATATAGGACTTCATTCATGCAGAATTTACTCTCAAAATAAGCAGGCCTCTGTGCTCACACCACTTGGTTTAAGCTCCACTACAACGTTCCAGTTCCAGCAGATATGCCATAGGAAAGGATCACACACTGAACAGGGAAGATGTGAAGGTCACAGCCCTCTTCCAACTGCACGGAAAAGGAAAGGCAGAGGGGAAGGTACGTGCGTGGTTAGCAAGGACATCATGAGGGGCTGGGACTGGCTACAGGCCGATTTGCAAATAGTTCTTGGATACCAGATAAGCAACATGACTGCCTAGATGTTTGTCCCAACACACACACACAGAACATGTACTAGCATTTCCATCCGATGGCATGTGCTTGTGGTTGGGACACCACAGAGAAGCTTAAGAAGTTTGGTGCAATGAACATGAATGTATTTGTTACTCCATTTCACTTCACTTCCTTCATTGCACTGCTGTAACAGGGCATTCAGTTCTTGTCCACCCATCTCCCCACTCACTAAACATCAACTGGGCACCTTTAAGACTGATTCTGATGGCATGCAAGACATCCAGAAACATTCTTGAAGGAAAAGATATATAAAAAAAAAAAAATCCCAATTATTTACAAACCAAATTTCTTCCAAAGTTTTCCATGAGCATTACGTGGGATCTCTGAAAGACAAACATGGTACTACAGCTATCCAAAGGGGAAAGAACAAACATGGAAACCAGTAGAAATGCATCCTGAAAGGATTTCTCTAAACAGCAGCCAAACAACTTGCACATTCCTCAGGGAAAAAAAAAAGACACAAAACAGAAAAAATGAAACAAAACAAACAAACCCCAATTAAAAAAAAAAGAAAAAAAGAAAAAAGAAAACACAACATAAAGATCATGTGTTACTTATAAAGTGCTTTGCATGGACAAGGATAGCAATTTTCCTTGTGCTTTTCCTATGGGCTCAAGAAGCATATTGTAGACTAACGGGTAATGAATCTTCACAAAAATAAGTTCGTTTTAAGCAAAGGAATTCCTAACAGTTATATTTTAGCAGACAGTTTTCTGCTAGCATGACCTTGTGGAAGGAAACTAGGGCTTTTATCAAGCTCTGCGAAACCAACGACTCTTGAACCACCTGTAGGTACTGGCTCCGGTAACAGTTTCTTTCAAGAGCATCTTAATTTCCAGTATGCCCTACATTTACAGGTTGGGCCACAGCCCGTCCAAGGGCTGAAACGACGCGTGGGGTGAAGGGGAATGAGCAGCGAGGGGCTCTCCTGGAGCTGATCTCTGTCAATATCTCACCGGCCTGCCGACCGCAGCGGCCCCCCGCCTGCCGCCCGGGCCACGTCCGCGCCTCCGACCACCGCTCGCTTCAGCAGCTTCTCCACACTGGGAAGTGGCTATTGCTACTAGGGAAATTCCTGCCAACCTCAATGAGGAGAAAAAGCCTTACAGCATCTGAAGACCCACAGCAGATGAGAAAAAATTGTGCTTTTTTTTTTTTTTTTAAATGCATCCTGTACACAAAGTCAATTCTATTCATGTACCAACATGAATCACTTCATTCTTGTAGTGACTATTAAGTCATTCACTATTGCTGTCTTGCTAATGTTTGTGGAATTAATATGAATACACAGTATTTCAGTTATAATTCCCACTTCAGATTAGTCCGGTCCCTATAAGCCCAGTAAATATTTACTGTCGACCATCACAGACTACCAGCAACACCGCACAACTCCGGGGTTCCAACACCGCATCCCGCTACTGACGTGTTTCTCCCTTAGCCCGGGAGCAGCCTTCTGCAGCCAGAAACACAGACGGTCCCCTCACCCAACACACACGTTTTGTAGGGACACCGCATGTACACGCACTTGACTCCTTCATTTATTTGTCACGGTTTTGTCCAACACCTCCCTCCCCCCCAGGCCTCCCAGCCAGAGGTGGGTCAGCTCCCCTGCCTCACGTGGAGTGGTACAGGGCAGATACGGATCAAATTCTGAAAGCTTCTGTCTGAGCTTGAGTTTCTTCCTAATGTGGTCTGACTTGCCTCTGTACAAATAATTTACATTTAATACCACATACCAGAGAACTCTGCAAACAGATCACATCACAAGATATTCTACTAGAGGTAAACAATGTGCAGAACTTGATGAGCTTTTTTTTTTTTTCCTTTTTTTTTTTTTTTTTTTTTCCCTGACTGGGTAACTTGTCAAAAAGCTACCAACCATTTGAAAACCAGGACTGGAGGACAGGAAAACAAAGCACTCTGAAGTAGATACCGCCACCTTCATCCCAGTTTGCAAAGTGTACAAAAGGGAAAGACAAACGGAAGGGAGGGAGATCACAGGGAAGAAAGCAATGAGAGAAGTAGTCAGCGTGGATCCAGCAAGTACCGTTTTGCTTTGATCTAACAGCTTGCCATTAGGACAAGATGCTCCACATTTACACACACACGTATCAGAGGACATTTAGTTAACAGGATAAAAATCATTAAAAAAAAAAAAAAAGAAAGCTGTTGAAAGTACCAAAACAATTTTCGGAATGTCTAATTCTAGGGGGTTTTGTATTTGTATTCAATTCAACCTGAGAACTTTTTTTCCCATTTATGAAAACATTACATATTGGTAAGGTACCTGGCATTAACCTGCACCCTCGTTTAAAATAAAACTTTTAAAGTAGGTACATACACCGTTCACAGTCTGTATCAGGAATTCTACAGACTTCAGATGCTGCGGTAGCATCTTTGATAAATACACTGTATCATATGATACCAAAAAAAAAAAAAAAAAGAAAAAAAAAGGACAATCTCGCTACATTTTTTTTAAAAACTTGTTTGTTGCTGGACCAACAAAAGAAGGATCTACTGAACCCTTCTAAAAGATGTTGTATATGCACACACCAAGAAAATACTGGAAAAGGAAAAGGTTAAGGTTGGTGGTTGTCATTTGTTTTTTGAGGAAGTGATAAAGTAAATCTGAAAAAAGTGCAGCAGCATCCCCTTTTCCTTCAGATTAACATCTTCACCTTTAGAGTAACATCTTCTCCAGCTTCCACCACCCCACGCTGTTTAATTTTACTGGAATAAACCAACCCCGATTTAGACAGAATTAGGTGTTTGACATTGTAACACAGTGAAAAGGGGATACTGCATTGTCCACAAACCAGTGAGTACACCAGGAAGAGAGATCAGAACGGAGGATGATTCTTTTAATTAGCACTCATCAGATATTCAGCCTCTGATGATACGTTGTTAGAGGGAGAAAGCCGACCGGCAGACCATCCAAAGCAAGTCTCCTAAGTTGCAGCAGCAGTTCCATCCCCTCATGCCCGAGCACCAAAGTCAAACCACGAGCGCCCTCTCCTCTCTCCTGGGAATGATGCCAACGGCACAGGCAGCCACTGCGGGTCTCCGAATGCACGTGGTGTTTTGTGTTGAAGGAGAAACACTGGCAGCAGAGTATTCTGGTTCCTAAAAAGGTACTTTTTCCCATTGTGTTGGACTGGCAGTTCCATTCTGCTCCACTTTTAAGCTTATGGATATCTTTTCTAAATTACTTTAGGCTCGGCGGAGCAGAATAGAGTTTTGATGTTAAGAAACTGTAGGAACACAAGACTTAAATAACAGAGTGGGTGCTGCCATGGTGCTGTGGCTACTTGAACGCTGCAAATTCTCCTGTAGAGGGAGGACAAGAGCTTGGTTTAAAAAGGTGATTTCAGTTACGAGGTGGTCAGAGATTTTCTCCAGACTAGCTGAACATTAGGTTGGATACCAAAGATGTTAAAAAATGCAAACTGTTAAAATTAAAGCACAAAAGAAACACAGTGAAAGAACATTGAATACAGACCCAGAGTATTTTACTGAAAAAGAATTTCTCGAAAGCAAGTTATACCCATTTTTCCCAAGACAGAGGTCTGCAGGTTCAAGCAAAGTCTAATCATCATGCATTTAAAATAAAATCTGTCAGGCAAATTTCAGTTCAAACTCCCTATTTATTGCATGCATATCCTCCTCAAAAACAGTAATTGCAATAAACGTGTCAGATTGCAAACTAATTTCTATCCTGGTATAAAACTGGTTTAATAGCAAATTTGACACACCCGTTAACCTTTAAATACTATATACAGTAAAGTGCCTGATTATTACACTAGTATTAAAGAATGCCAGAATCTGGTTTAGAGACCAACACAGAAACCTACTGTGAGAAAACAAAGACTGATGAGATTGTCTTCTGAGGCCCAGACCAGAAATTAGGCCTCACTAACAGGGAACACATAAAATAAAGCACCCCATGTTCCCTGAAGAATTATTGAACAAACAGAAATCCTACACAGTGCTTTCACATGCAACCACCTCATGAAACTCTACACAGTTTATTTAGCCTCATCACACCACGGGACAGTCTGATAGTAGCAGTTCAGAGATGAAGAAACCATGGCACCATGGAGTAAAACTGATGCCCAAGGTCTTAAGAAGTTTGCCAGCACCTTGAATAGAAGCTGAAACTAAAATATTCATCCTCATCCTCGTAATGCTATGCTTTAGCCAAAAAAAAAACCCTGCCACCCACAGAACTTGTATTCTCTAAGATTTTGAAGGAGGGGTGTGCAAATATGCTTAACCCAAAGGACTCTGGAGAGGAAGAAAAATAAATGTACATATAACTTCCTGTTGTTGTGTTCCACATAAATTTGTGGTTAGTTTATGCTATTTTGTGACAGGGCTTCTCAGAGCTTTCCTAGTAATGAAGGAATGAAATACACAGAAGAGACCCTCTGCTCCAACAGACAGGTGTGAATGCTATCACATCTCAACAACTGTTCCCTATCTTAGTGTCCTTCCATCTTTTCAAAAGCAAGAGTTTTGCTGGCTTCCATTTTTCTTAAGATTTCTATTCTGAATATTGGAAACGATCTGGAGATATCCCTACAAACAGAATTTTAGACTGATAGCATAAATTCAGTTGAATGTCTTGCTTTATAAAGAAGGGAACCAAGAAAACGATCAGCAGCCTGCATGGGGGAGGCAAAAGAAAGGGCATCCATGGGCCTGGTAGGAACAGATGATACAGGTGATTTATGTAACAGAAAGAATGCAGGGAAAGAGGATAGGACCCTATACCTCATGGGAGATGAGAAGGGAGGGCACCCAAGGTCTAAAGTAAGAGTGGTGGGTATGGGGGGCTGTGAAACACCTCGAGCTCTGTGTGTCCTGATAGTCTATGGTGGTAGCTATAACAACATTAAAAACAAACAAAATAAAACAGAGAAAATAAAACAAAAACCTTAATGATGAGACTAATTGCCTTTTTTACTAGTTCTACCAACAGATAAAACCCTTGCTCTAAAATACGCATGCTATTTGAGAATTTTTCTTGTTTCTCTCTGGCACATTTCACCAGCGCCCAACTCTCTTCACAGTAACTTCTAACAGCACCTCAGTTTTTGTACTTCTTTCCTCCTCATTTTTCCCTTTTAAGAGAAGGACAAGGAAAGTCAACAAGTATTGCCTGTGAAGCTAATTTTTAAGAATGACATTCATGCTTAGCTACACTTTCAAAACGTGCTATACTTATTTTTTCAGTCTGCTTTCCTAAACTGCTGATTAAAGATCAATTTATAAACAAGAGATTGCTCTCTCATTACTCATCTTGTCCTTCTGCCCATTTCTGCTAATAATTCAGCTTTTAATAGTTGTACGGGGATTTCAGATGATGAAAGACGAACCATTAATTAGGAAAAGGCAATGGAAAAACAGGAGCAGAAGTCAGGAAGTATTTCAGATAGGATAGTAGCTTTAAAAATTGATTTTCAGACTTCTTCTCCATTTTAAATAAAACTTTAGCAAATATATATATATATTTTTAATTTTAATGTTATTTTATTTTGTGACAAGCTAATGGTAAATCTCCCCTTTCAAAACTGAGGTGCTACTCTGCTCTCAGATCAGTAAGTGACCAAATGGGTAACATGGTCATCTAATAGTGGGATTATGTCGAATGAACATGTATAAAATGTGTTTACGAGTACAAGCTTTCCCTAGATGAAGAGTGTAGATGGCATTATCTACCTACATTGCAAGAATTCTCATCGTGTTAGGTGAAAACAGAACTTTCTGAGGAGTAGCTAAAATGTTTTATGTCACCCTTTCTACTCTGACGATCTAAAATATCTGCAGCTGGTTCTTTTATCCTCCCAAATAAATTCCACCTGTAGGAGGGGGAGAGAGCCCCTTCCTGAGATTTGGGATGCGTGCAGGTAAATGAAATAACCTGGACTATGAATCCATTGTCCTGTTCACAGGACTGGAAGGTCTGGCTTGAGAGCAATGAATGGGTGAAGACAGCTTTAGGAATGTGTCCTGATATGCTCTGTCCTGCAGGAACAAGATCCCCCTTGTGGAATACACGGAGCATTTCCCAGTGCAAGGGTAAGAAGCTGAGCTGTGGCTGCTCCAAATGAGGTCAGTTTACTCTGAAGCTATGAAACCACATAATTTGTGATTTGGGATGCGATAAAAACAACATTTTTACATTTTTATTCGTTGTGAGACAGACATCTGATGTGTGCTTTTTACCAAGAAGAGCTTTGGATACTTGCTTTGATGGGTAACAGAGGAAGTCCGTTTTTTCTAAAGGGTGCATAGCATTTAAAAGGCTGCACTCACTACCTGCAGAGCCCTTTTGAGTTAGTTGCTACTGGTCTTTTCATACTTTTCATGTTTTATATGCACTATTTTAAATGCACCTCCAAAATATCTGTATGGAAAAGATCACCATGTTATTTCTTATTGAGTCCAAACGATATATTATAAGGGCATTTTCTAAGCAAACCAACTGCCCCTTATTTCTGGAAGGATTTAGCATGTAGTTACCAACCTTTATGCTCACAAATTTAAAGGTGAGCTGAATTTCTGAGGTCACTAAGGCATCCTAACTATTCTACTTATCCCAGGGTAGATGCCACTTTTCTTAGAAGAATTGGAAAGAGAAGAATGGTTCCCTTCCAGGCCCATGCAAGCCTTGTCAAATGAAAAGGAGAATAACTGGCTTATCAGAGGGAAAGTATTTCTACACCAAATACACCTACTTGCCTGGATTACATTAAAAGACACAGAAAAAAATATGTGAGAAAGAAGCAGTTTTCTGTCAGATCTTGTGCTGATCTTCTGATCTGGGTATCATCCACTGGCTAAATAAAATATTTGGAACAGGGCCTGATGTTGATAATTAATATCCTCAGAAGAATATGCAGCAGCACTTAAGAGGCTCTGTTCCTTCTAGAAGGAAGGAGAGATTTTGTTTCTATACTCAGATGTAGAGAAGTAAAGAAAAAAGGAATCACACACAGTATAAATTACGTACCCAAGAAAGCCTGGGTTGTTACAGACCTGTTTTCAGGACCTATAGATATCTGTTTCTAAATAATATACCTGAGTCACATCTGTGAAAACACTGACCAAAATCCACAGGTCCACAGGTATATTTAGGCCTTTTTATCCTATATATGTTTCAGAATTCCACTGAAGATGCAATTATAAACTACTAAGTTAAACCCCTAAATGCCTTTATGCCAGATTAAGGCAATGATCAACATAAAGCAGTGTTATTTTTGGCTTCATAAAATGCTTACTAAGAAGCTAAGATCATGTTATGGTCATGGATCCCAAATCATGCCTGATGTGTAAGAACAGCAAATGACACAGGAAGAATTCTAGTGCACTGACCATACAGCAGGCAATGGGGCCAAACACATCGAAGGATAGCAGCATTTTTCCCCATAAATTATAGTTCCTATAGCAATGAAGAACAATCTTAACAACCACAACCAAGGCTACTACAACAAACAACTTGCTTGAACAATCTGGCAGACCCAAAAAAGAGTAAGACTAGGTAAGGCCATGATGGAGGCTCTGCACTCTCCATTACTCTCAGTGTGGTGAAGCCTTTTCTGTGTGGGATGATGCAATTCTAGACTCTGCGGAATGCCCAACAGCCCTCCTCTTGCTATTTACTGACATAGGCATTGCAGCCTGCACTGAATACCATACCGCAAAGGTTAAGAAGCATTCCTCCTGACTTTCTAAAATAATTAAAAAAAAAAAAAGATTATGAGGAAAAAAACATTTAAATCCTGTTTTCATTTTAAGATAGGCCTGCCAAAATGAGGCAAAACTACCAGAAAGATGGGAAACAGGTTTTCTGAAACAATAACTTTCATCAGTAACTATTTCCATAAGAGCTAGATTTCAACAGCTGAGTTTTCTTGACTAACATAAAGAGAAAAGTTAGTTCCACAACTGTTCCAACAGTAGAAGCCAAAAAGACCATTAGAATCTGGCCAGCAAATGTAAAAATTGCTTCCATCTCTCTAAACTCTCTAACTTTCCTGTTGTGAAAAAGGCTCAGTTGCCAGCAAGACAGCAGAAAGGAAAACCTCTGTGGAATTTCTTCATCTATTTCAAAAACATATTGCTAACAGTATGTGCACCTCTCTATAAGTACCTTTCTGGCCCTTTAAGTCCTAACAAGAGTAGCAATAGCTTGTTTCCAATGCAGAAATATCTGTGAAAATTAACAGCTTAACTGCTTAGAACAAACAAAACTGCCTAATTAATTTCAAAATATGCAAGAACACAGTTGTTAATAATATTATTGTTTGTTTTCATATCTGACATCAAAGACTGATGTAACCTGAACCAGTACTCTGATTCACCTGTTCCACAGGAATGATCCAGAGAAAAATAAAATCTTTCAAGTGAGCTGAGAGGATTGTGCTAAGGCTTCTCACTTTCTTAGTGAGATATCTAGTTTGATTCAATTCTAGTCAAACTAGCAGCTTCATACAGAAGTGAAAAAAACAATCCCTCACTGAGCAGTAGCGTGTTCTGTAGTATTATTAACAATATTAAAATAATTAAAGTATGTCACCTTAATAAAATTCATGGTATAATACTGATTTCCATGCAAACAACTGCTTTTTCAAATCCGTTAGCAGCAGCTTTTTTCTCTTATTTAGTTATGTTCCAAGCTTTTTTTTTCTTTTTTTTTTTTTTAATTAGAAAGTTCTTGCTAACTGAAGGATACAGAGACCAATACCAGTCAGCAAAAGCAGACATAGAGAATTTCTTTTGTTGCACTGTAATAGAACATTTTGAGATGGTCTAAACTATAGAGCAACTATCAGAGCATTTAGGCAAAAATGAAAACTAACAGAAATGAAACAAACAAAACCAAACGAACAAACAAAAATAAGCCACCACTTCTCTGCAGGAAGAGATGTTCTCTAAACAGCGCTATTTTAAAACCTTAACTTTTTAAAAAAAGTGTCACACATCACCAAGGTCTTTCTTTGGATTATGTGTTGCTTCTGCTTACTTCTGCTGACCACAAGCAGTTTTGATTGCACTCAGCCTTGCAGCTAAGTTCATGTTTCCAATTGTTTCCCACGTGTGAGTAGCATTACTAACTGAAGGATCTAAAGCCTTATGCTCCTTAATAATGAGCTCAACTGAAAGAAAAACGAAAAAAAACTTTGAGTTGATTAAAAATAAATACACTCCTGAGTAACTAATTCCAATCAATAAACTAGGCAAAAATGACACCCAATGACCTTTAGAGGAGTTTTACTCATTTTGAAGTGACTTTTCCCATTTCTCTTAAGTGACCTTATAAATCTTCTTGTGCCAGCTGTTCCCAAGGCACTCCTTACCAACACAGACTTGTACCCAGGACATTCAATGCCCAGTGTTAGGAAGTGAGTCTTCATTCCCCCAATAAACCTTAAAAAAGTAGCTGGTAGGAACTGAGAACGTACAAATGTGTTGCACACATCGGAACACACCAGCACACAGACACACAGGCACATGCTTCACATGTCTTTTCAGTGTACTGGAAACCCACCGTATCCCCCTGCTTGGATGGGTGTTTTTGGAGAAGCACAAGCATACAGACTAAAATCCTCTGTTTGGAAGCCAGCCCGGTTTAACGACGGCTCAGATGCACTGCGGTGAATTTTTGGCAATGACCGGGCCAGAAGCTCAATGGAGGCAAGAATCTAAAACAAGCAAAAAATAACCGATCAGTTATTCTAAAGTTGTAACAATCTCTTAAAACCAAAGGCAGAACATCAATCAACTACAAAAAAAGATATTTATACACACATTGAAACAGAAACTTAAAAAAAATGACTGCACTGCACTCTTGTGCTTACATCTTCACGAGCCAAGAAGGACATTTTGTGAAGAAACTGTCTCATTTTCCCCTTTAAAAGGCCATGCTGATTTCCCTGTGTAAGCATATGGCAAACAGTTGCTTTTTATTTGCTTCCTTGTTTATGCATTGTTACCTATAGCTATTATCGCCGTAAACAAACACAATTTCTCTGGAAGCTGTCTCCCTAACACCATCTACTAAAAAGCCAGCAGGGGGAGCTCAATTTATTTTTGAAAATGCTTTGGTACACTCGAAACAAACTAAGATTTCCCCCTTCAAGCTTTTAGAACCCAAACCTCCCTCTTGCAGGCATGATAAAGTTTTGTCTCCAAACTATCAGACTCCCCTCATAAAGCCTGGGGGAGAGGAAGGAGCAGAGCATACAGATTTCTGAGAACGTACAAAACAAGTTCTAATTCACGTGTTTAACTGCAATCATTAATTTCGCTATTGCCCAGGAAACTTTCTCCAACAAATAAATGATTTTCTGACTATACAAGCTATTTTACTATCTACTTTTTGAATTGAAAATTAACATTTCTAATTGAACAATAACCAGGTCTAATTCAGGATTCTTATGAAGTCCTGCTGTAGGACTAATATAAAAAATCTTAAACTAGCCAGAGAGTTCATAAGTGATCTTTATTTTTCGTTTTTAAATTGGGACATCTACTGAGAACTAAAGAAAAATCACTCCTCACCTGTGGAAAAAGGGGTCTCTCGTCTCTTTTCTTTTTTAAGCATTCTGCCATTAATCTCTTCATAGCTTTTGGACAGTTGCTCCGTACTTTGCTGAGGTCTGGTGATAGATATCCTCGTCCCACCATAAAAATTATCTTTATTTTAGGAAAAAAACAGATGAAGAGGAAGAAGATGAGTTCGTAACATAAATAGTAAAAACAACAACAACAAAAAAGATGGACGTTTTGCTATAAACTATTTTAGCTCCAGCAGCAAATTTTCTGCTCCCAAAGAACAGCATCTGGAAGTGAAATCACCAGGTTTGTTAAGAGTAATGTTTGCTTGCTTGTTCAGTAAAGACAAGAAATTAGACTTTTCTTCCTCCTTCTCTTCTAAGAGAGATTTAGGAGAAACACGAATGCTAGTAAATGGTTACCATTTATAGCAATGAACATCTAAGGAAGAGTTCTTTGGTGTCAAAAACAGTTACAAAAACAAGAATAAGCAACTGTGGTAGGAATACGGTTCCTAAGAATAAATATTCTGTTTCATAATACGAAAGTCAACAGAAAGTTCACACTGAAAGGCATTTTAGGAAACACGCAGACTTCAGATATTAAAAGAAACCTTACCTTTTGAGAATAAATTCTTTCGTTTGCTTTTCTACCACTAAAACTTATTATTGACATGTGACCATCCTTCCACCTCCACACCTCCCTACCCCCAAGAAAACCACATACAAAAATGAAACTGCCTTTTGTCTGTAGAAACTGAGTATTACAGGCCCATTTTGATATTCACCTAGAGGCAGACAGGCTTTGAATTTTTACAGTAATTTGTTTTGCATGGAAGGTTTACATTTCACCTAAGGATAAAACTTAAGTATAAAACAAAGTAAATTAATAGAAAGCAGGAAAGCAGAGTATGAATCTGGTTCATGTGCTCCTGGATATTTTAAAAAAGCCATCAAACAGCATCACATCAAGCCAAGGTCAAATGTAATGCAGTTTGAGTACTGCAGTTGTGCTGCCACTAAAAAGCCCTTTCAAACTAGCTAATCAAAGATCCATTCATGCTGCAGCAGATAATCACTATCTTTTCTGAACAGTCAGACAGACCCAGCAGGTGTATCATGCCTTATATTTTATGTAGTATAACTATTTCAATATCTTGACACTGGCAAAAAAAATAAAGCCACAACCTGCCAGAAAATCAAAAACAAAAAAACAAAACACACAACTCAAGCAAACTACCAATGCTATTTGCACTAACACTACCACAGTCCCTTTTTCAACTTTCAGCTTGCATCTGCATTTGCATTACGCGGTACAGCAGATCACCCAAATGGTTTCTTCAGAAATTTAAAAGTGCCAGAACAGCATTTCGTAGTAAAGGCTTGTCTACACCATCCATAACCTCTGCAGCAAAGAGAATTATCACCTCCTAGCAGTTATTCTTTCCTAAATAATTACACTACTTAATTTAAAATTATTCAAAAATCATCAGTATTTTTGTTTCTGATACACTGTTTGTATATAACACGGGGATTAATATATTGATTAGATGTTAGAAAAAGATTATCACTATAAGAAGAGTCCTAGTCTGTCTATAAAAATCTGTTAAAGTCAGAAAAACTCTTAGAGGTGTAACAAGAATGATGTTTTGCTCACTAAAAATGTCAGTTGTGACACATTATCTGATGTAGAAGCATCAATACAGAGTGGGCAATATTTCCATCTCTTTCAAACAACGGAGGATGAAAAAAAATCAAGAGATCAGATCACATTTTTTATGCTGGGTTAACTTGTAATTTAAAATTTGTTTCGGCACTCAAATGTGAGCACCCATTTCACAGGGTTCCTGATTCAAAACTTAAAAGGTGAAAACAAAACAATGTCTGAATACTACTTTTAGAAGGCTAAAACCATCTGGTCAGGAATCTAGACACTTCCCTTTGTTTAAAGAACAGAAAAAAAATACAAAAAGAGGAGTCACTCCAAATCTGATGAATTGGAATGAAGTGTTCCGACAAATATGGAAGCAGCCTTATAAAATGGCATTCACAGATGAACGTTGCTATGGTTGCAATTCTCAAGTACTGACAGTGAAAAAAAACAAGGGATGCGGACACAGATACAACATAAATATATCACCAGCCAGATAAGGAATAGTTTACACCAAAGGTCTTGATGCATAGATCCTATTTCCAGATTTGACAGAGAAATGATAAATCAGACAAGCCTTCCCGAACATGCCTATCCTGTGAAGACATATTACAGGCGTGGGGTATCATTAGACTTATGGAATATTTGTTCACAATTAAGTAATCTTACAGGATTCAAACACTCTGGAAAGTCATATGCTCCATCAAGCAGAATTTGAGAAATGCTGATATCCTGAAACTCCATTAGATGGTGCATGCATTTCTCAAGACTGGAATGAATATGGAACACTCACTGAGATGATTGCCATTCCATTTTGTCAGTCCTGTTCCTGAGCTGTTATTCAAGGCGGTTCAGGAGGTGGAAAAGAAAGAGGAGTAACTGAACATACAGAGAATCGTTTCTGCTTTGCAGAACTATTCTAAACTAGATTACTATTAAGTAACCTGCTCTCTCCTTAATAAGTATCCTGGCAACGAGCTCAGAATCTGAAAATCTATACTTCAAGTAAAAAAAGGAACAAAAGAAGAAGAAAAAAAAACCCTCGAGAGAAGTGAGTAAATTGGTGTTATGTGGCTGAGGCAGATCTAAATGTAGAAACGTCATCTCAGAACATCAGAAACACAAATGGAACGCACAAAACAACAGAATAGGCACTTCACAGGACTATATCACTCTTCTTCAGGCCACAGCTGACTGAAGTCAACCCCTTTTCAAGCCCATGCTCTTTTTACCTGGTCCCTGTTGTTGATGTTTGAGTATGGTAACTGTCCAGTCATCAGTTCATAAAGAACAATTCCAAACGCATACACATCCGACTGAAAACTGTACGGGTTTTTGTCTTGCATCCTTATAACTTCTGGTGCCTGTACCACAAAAGAAAACAATTAGGAAGGAACAAAAGGAAATATTTCACCACGCCAGGCTGCACCTTGCATACCAGAAACAAAATATGGACTTGTCCAGAGTATAAGAGGTGCAAGGCCCGCTCCTGGCTTCAGGTGTTACTGAGTTCTAATATAGAGGGGATAATGACACAAATCTCAAAATCTGTATCAATAACCAATCTCTCATTGCTTCTATTTAGCTTGGTTATCCCTTTATTGATCTATGACAGAACAAAGTGACCCTGTTCAGGCTAAGAAGATATTTTGAAACTAGAATTATAACAGCACTGAAAATAATGTCAACTAACAGAACCTTCAGTTTCTTCAAGTGGAAAAGAAGAAAGATGAGTTGCAACAGAGGTCATAACTATACTTCTTAGAAGATTTAAACAGTTTGCATGACATCTTCAGAATAACCATGTGTGAATCCTTAAAACTCAACCCTGAATTGATCACATCCTTCCTTAGGCAATTTTTTTTCCTGTCAGTTTAACCCTCAGTACAGGGGAAGACGACACTGAGGTTTGTTTGTTTTTTGTGACTATTGGAAAATATGCTTAAAGAAAAACTGAAATTCACTTAGAACTTCTAAGTACTGCTTGGTCTTTCCAGCTTCAGATAGTTTGCACGTGTCCATGCACTGGAAGGATAGCCTGAGAAAGCTTGGTCAGATACCCTTAAATCAGTTAAAACAGACACACCACCTCCCCTTTACTTACCATCCATAGAATAGATCCAGACAACTGTTCAAATTGATGAGATCCACTCCATCGTGATTTCACTGTAGCTAGACCAAAGTCACCTATTTTTACTGTGAGGTCTTCATGAAGAAAAATATCTAAGTGGGAAATGTTAAGGGAAAACAAACAGTACTGGTTCTGTCCTCCAAGAACAATAAACAGCTAAAAACTTGCAACTTTAGACATAACAGTTTTAACCATTCATTACCATTATTGATTAAAGAAATTTATATAATACAGGTTCTAAGCAGCCAGCATGATGAATTATGGTACTGTAGGGTTACATATTTAATGACTAGGCCAGTGCTGAACAGCCTACAGCCCAGGTGACTTTCTTGAAACGCCAAGTACTCAACCACTGGAAGCTGAATACACTCCACGAGTGAAATGGAAAAATCTTTCATTACAAGTAGAAACCCAATGATGTGAAATTCTTTGTTAAACTGCAACAAAACGCGCTATGTTATTGGAATCACAGCAATAGGCATAGTAAGTATTCATTACTTTTCTACTGATTATATAACGCCTTCTCAACCAAATTTCAATTCAACAAATAATCACACATGAAGAGGTTTTCACTTCAATAAGGTCATTTCTGGCAGGAAAAACAAAACAAAACTAGTAATAATAATAAAAAAAGAAAAACGAAAAAAGAATGCTGTCATATTCCAGAATCACATCTCCAGGAAAGGATACTATTACTCTTGAGGTCTCTGTGGATGATTGACTTGGCATGCAAATAACTGAAAAGGAACATCATAGATTAGATGGGTTAGATGTTATTCCACTAATGAACAGCTCAAAGTTCATTGTATTACCAAAACACAAACTCTGTAGATATCCAAACTGCACACGTTTGTTAAAGCACTAAAACATCAGCAATCCATGCAAGATCTTGCAACAGTCACAGGAGAAAAGAAAAACAAAATAAAGCTTAGATTTCCACCTCCAACCTGTTGTTACTGAAGAATAAAACAGCAATTACACGTCAACTTCTGCTTTTCAGTTGCCTAAGTCAATATTCAGAATCCGAACTAAAGAATGTCAGTAGTTTTTGACATGCCATTCAGTGCTGAAGGCTCTGCCTCCCAGCCTTGACGGTGACTATCATGACACTTTGTGGGGTAAGTCACAGCTTTAGCCTAGGTGTTTCCAAATCATGGGACCTAAAAGTGTTTCCAAGTCTCTATGTGTATCCCATGACACAAGCTGACTGTTTTTTAGTTTGGGACTGGAAAAGAGAACCCCTGATTGCAGAATGGATAAATAGACTGCAGGGAGGTCAGAGGAGAGTACTTGCCCCACAGCATAGATATAGCCTAAATTAGGCAACAAAGCTGTTTGTTTAATCTATTGGGCAACACAGCTCTTTGTTTAATCACTGAGAGTGGCACAAATCTGTGGAAAAGCCCCATTTTATGTTCCTGCCTTGAATCACACTCAAAGAACAGTTTCTGTATCTCCACTACCTACAGAGGGAGCCTGGGGATATCAGCAGGCAAATAGAAGGCTGAGGCCAGTTGCTGCAAACATCTCCCAACCTCTTGACTGAAAATATAATTGAATACTCAGTGGAAAAAGTGCACGATTAACTGCAATCGCCATTCCAGCTGAAGGGTGATTTTTCTGTCTTACATCAGTGTTCTGATTTTGGCATACAATATTGGGCTAGTTTTGTAAATTCCAATTCCCTCCATTGCTGTCAACGGGAGGAAGGATTACTTAACACAAAGTCCTTAGAACAAAATAGTTATGTTTTCTTCAAATGCTGAAATCTATTACTTTATTTAGAGAGCTACAACACTTATGAGAAATATAAAAGAAACTGCATTCTTTTCACTAACAGGGCTGTCTGCATTCTGGGTTATCTTACACAGTTCTGTACTTTCATTTGCAGGGTGTTTCTTTTTAAATTCTTACCCTAAGTCTATCTGCACTGTGAAGACCATAAAGCCTTGAACAGAAATCTTTTCTCACAAGATTAAAGATAATTACAGTGTGGTTAAACTTGCGTTCTTCTTTCAGAGACCATATTCCTTGATTATGTGTACTTCTCTATGTTCCAGAAAAAGACCCTGAAGTCTATTTTACTGATCAAAATAATAAACTCTTCAAATACTTTGATTAAGGCAGGACTCTGGACTTGGCAAACTGACAGACAGCTAATCTAGTTTGCCAATGTCAGTCACAGTGTGAAAGAGATACACAAACACTGTCACAACACTCATTTGCAAAGAGATAATAAGAGACTTACTCCATGCCTTGTGCAGTCTGTCGTGCAATATCAATTAGTTTAATCATTTCAAATTTGGTCTCAATGATGTGTAGATGGTGATATAAACTTGACCCCTCACACCATTGGGTAACAATAGCCAACTGAGGCTTTGTTGAATAACCCATAAAAAGAAGGATATTCACATGCCGTGTTTTCCTGTTGGGGGAAAAAAAAGTATATCAGGAGAAAATTGATGAGGGAAAATAAACAAACAAACAAACAAATACATGTAAATAAACAGGCAGAACCAAATGCATCTTTCCAAACAGAAGGTCTTCGGTCAATCTCAGCTTCCCCTAAGATAATCCATTTCTAGATTCAGTCTAATGAATTATTACAGCCTATAACCTTTATTGCTGAATTAACAAGGAGCAGGTATTCTGGAGCAAGCATTGCTTTCTCTTGATTTTGCAAAAAAAAACAGCACAGGAATGCTCAGAAAAATGCTCAGAAGATGCTATCACTAAGTCTATGAGGAACATTGATTGTTTGAAGGCAGGCCTGGTCTTGTGTAACCTTAGTTCAGCCATACATGTTGGTGCCCATCAAGCAGAAGGATATCCCAAATGAAATTCCAGTCTTGGTGACTTCCAGGAAATGCAACCTTTTCCTTCAGAAACAATCAACATGCTTCCTTGACAAGGCTTCATTTTTTTTTAGTACTTTGATAAAAATCATTTACTTTCTGGAGCTAGCACATGAAAAATCATGGGAACAGGTATGAAAACTGTACCTCTGTAAAGTTACGATACTCTCTATGAACTTGTTTCCAAACAGTACTGGGATAGACTGGGGTTCACCACAGAGATTTGGTCACATTAAATCAAACCTCTTTCAAAGAAGAAGAAACTAGACATAAAAACTTCTCAAAGCATAATCCCAAGGTTATCTCAGCAGATATCCCAGTAGAATCAAGGCCTTGAAGAGTCTACTGATACATTGTAAAATCTGAAAGATTCTCCTAATTCCCCAGGAACTCAATCACATTCTTAGTGTCATCAAATGGACATGAAGAAGAACTAGATTCCACCAAACATTCCAACTAGAGATCACAAAGATGAGGCACCTAAGCATTCTGGAGTCTTTCTTAGGTTTCCCAGAGGCTGAGGAAAAAGCAATCTTCCTTCTACACAGCTCAGTATTGAAGGCAGCCTTCTCACTGCTTGAAGAAACCTAACAGACCAAACTTAAAACCTGTGGTAACTTCTTAAATCTGTATGCTGTGCTGTTTGTTGGCAGCTCTTTATATTTTCTTATATTAAAAAACTACCATGAGAGCCTTGACTGTGACCCTGTTAGTCCTCTCAGCAGTGCAGGCTAGGACAGTTCTAGACTATAAAACTGTGCCCTTTTCAGGTGTGAGGATCTGTCAAGTGATACTGCAAGTAAACTGCTGAGTAAACAAAAATAATCAATTTCTTGCAAATCCTATCTCAAGGAAGTACTGATGAAGCATAATGGGAAAGGCATGATGATGGGTGTATCTGGCCTGTCTGGGTCAAAGGATAGGACAATTGACCACTTACTGTAAATGCCAAAAGGATCAACAGAGAAGGGCTAGACTTCAGCCACAGGACTGCCAGGAGAAATCCAGACTAGGTATGGACTACAAGATTTTTGATGCTATGCTTTGGGTTCCACTAAGTTCTCCTGAACAGATATGCCACAAGGCCTCTACTTCCACAGCTATGGACTTAGGAGTTTCACCATGCACTTTATGGGGGACCCTCCTCCAGCACAGGCACCCAGCTCAACACATCAATTTTCCAGAGCCAAGAAGTGTCTATTTTGTTTCATAAAACAGAATTATGGTTAAGATTGTAATTGGATGCTAGTGGTATTCCACCAGAAATACTGTATGGTGTCACGTTGATAGATCCTCTAGTGAGAACTGAACCCAAGACAAATACTTCATTTGAGAACGTACAAGCAGCAGACAGGAGAAAAGAAAATCAAGAAATGACTATGAAAAAAAAAAATTACATTTTTTTCTGAGGAGTCAATGCTACTGGTTAGAAACTACTGAACAATTGAAAACTTGGTCTGTAGTGTAGCTGGAAAACAGCAATTAGGTACACTCTCCTTCAATCTCAGAACCTGGATGAGAGCAAAAGTCCCAGAAGTTCACCTATAGGCTTGACTGTCCTATGGGTACCACAACAGCAAAAAAACAGTCTGTTTTGAGTGTTTGGATATAGATATACTCATCATCAGTCTACATATGTTATTCGGTATATCTATACTCAGACAGAAGGTATGGATATATGAGAGAAGGACAAATTAGCAGTGGATAGAAATGAATGTTTTAAATGGGAAGTTATACTTTCTATCCCAATTATCATCATGAAGGAATATGACCAATGTAGTCTAATAGAAATATGAAACTCAATGATTACAGAAGCATAAATTTACACAAATGATTTTACGCCATTAAAAATATTCTTACCTGAGCACTCCTACTTCATTTTTGAAAGCCTGTAACTGTTGAGGTGTGGGTGCTGTAACATTCAACATTTTCACTGCCACATCACCTTTAAAACAAATATTTTAAGTAAGTACCATTGACATAGATTCCACAATTAAGAAAATAATGTACAGAAAATCGGAAATACTGAGATTATCTATTTTCTAGCTTTAGTGAAATAAACCACTAAAATATTAATAGTAAATATTCTGTAAAAAGACATGGATATTTCAGTCTTTCTAGTAACTACATTTCATTGAGAAGAACACGCAAGAGTCAAGTTTCTAAACTGTTTGCAGTTCTAATATTACTTAACACAGTACTTTTGAAATTTAAAAAGTATTCTTAGGTTACAGAATAGTTGAGGTTGGAAGTGACCTCTGGAGGCAATGTTGTTGAACCCTGTTGCTTAAGCAGGGCCACCTGGAACCTTTCACCCAAGGCCATGTCCAGACAGCTTTTGAGCATCTCCAAGGAGGGAGACTCCACAACCTCTCTAGGCAACCTATTTCAGTGCTTGGTCACCTTCACTGTAAAGAAGTGATTCCTCATTATCAGACAGATTCTCCTGTGTTGCACTTTGCGGCCATTACCATGCTCCATCCTCTTTCTACTCTCCCTTTAAGTATTTCTATATAGAGAGACAAGATCTCCCTCTGAGCCTTCTCTTCTCCAGGCTGCATCGTCACAGCTCTCTCAGCCTTTCCTTATAGCAGAGATGCTCCAGTTGTCTAATCAACTTCATGGTGCTTTGCTGGGGTCTCTCCAGTATCTCCATGTCTGGAGAGTTCAGACTCTGACCCAGCACTCCAGGTGTAGTCTCACCAGTGATGAGGTAGAGGGGAAGGATCACCTCCCTCAACCTCCTAGCAATGCTTCACCTAAAGCAACCCAGGATACCATTAACCTTCTTTGTGACAAGGCCAAATTGGTGGCTTATGTTTAACTTGGTGTCCAGCAGGACCCCCAGACCTTTTCCTGTATAGCTGCTTTCCAGGTGGGAGGCCCCCAGCAGGCAATGTCATTTGCTTAAGAGTAACTGTTTGCTGTGATGGCCACGTACCATGCCACTTTCCTTTGTAGACTGTTCCAAATGATCCAGATCCTATCCTTTGTCCAACTGTGATCTGTCCATCTGGTATCTCCCAATCATCACTTGAATCCCGTCGACCAAGGGTTTTCTTTACATAAATGCACAAATAGTAAGAAAGAAAGTAAGTGCATTAATGCCTGTGAAAATAGGTCCTTTACTTTAATAAATAAATTATATAAACTAATAAATTACATACATTATAAATGTAAAGATATTATATAAATTAATAAATTTCTGATTTGATATCAGAATTTCATATAACTAAAATCCTAAAATATTTTTTTCTCAAATGCTGCATTTGAGTTTTCAAGCTAGGCATATACTCTCAGCATACGGGTATACTAAATAATTTCTTGACACGAAATACTTGCCACAGATTTTGGGCAATGTTAAAATCAGTAAAAATTGAGATTTTTATTTTTACTAAAAGGAAAGTCTCAGTTAGTTTTCAATTCTTATTCAGTTGCATGGTTAAATTGTAAATTAAATAAATGCAGTAATTGTTATGTACTGTTATATTTGAGATTCATTAGAGAACTTTCACTGTTCATGAAACATGAAGGGGAAAATTAAGCTGTTCTTTGAATGGAAACTGGCTTTATAACATAAAGCACGCCAAGACTTCTGGGTGCAATGGAGGAAAAGTGAATCCAGTCAATGATTTAGATGATTTATGTATCAGTCCCATGATTTCAATATTCCATTATCTATTGGCTTAAAGTCCTCAATAATTATAATACCTTCAAAATAATTCAGATGACTATGATGAAAGAAAAGTGAGAAGAACATGGATATGTAATACTTCTATACTACGAATATACCATACTATGAGTGAAAATAGCTGATTTTTCTCTTACCATTCTATTTCTGTCTTCTGAGGATGAGGATGATTTCCTTTCTCGTTGGGGTCCTGGTGATTTCTGTAACGCTTTCACATTAGTGAGTGACCCAGGCAAAGAGGCAGGAGGTGTTGCAGACAAACCTGCAGTTGAACCTAAATTTCAGAAACAGAATCATTTTTATCTCTAAGAGGCCAACTTACAAGAATGTAGATACTAGGTGCGAGGATGTTTTTTAAGATGCAGTATCTCCAAACATCAATGTAAATGTTAAGAGGGAACAAACACGTTCTTTGGAAATATTGTACTAATACTAGATTAGTGCTCAAGTCTTAGGTAACAGGAAGAGACAAGTCAAACATCCCTGTATCCCTGATAGTCCTCAGTCTCTTGGTCCTGAATTAGAGGGACAAAGTCTCTTTAACTAGAAAAAATACGTATGTTTGCTTTGAATTCCACCAGTTTCTTTGACAAGAAAAGTAGTAGCATTTTAGTTAGCAGTAGCTGCCTCTCAGATTTCTTGTAGCTAAGCTTTTGGGGACCCAATAAACAACTGAGATGCTGTACTTTGGAATCAAAATTGACTAAATGCAAAAAATTGAAATGGTTTCTAGCTGAGTCTCCAAGTGCCACCTCAAAACCATTTGGCTGTTTTAAAGCTATCTCTTAGTAGGGAGCTCTTATTTAAAAGTAAACATAAGACTGTAGAAAGGATTTCAAAGGAACAAATACTTTACTTAGCTATTTGAAACATATTCTATTAAGTACAAACTAGAACTGTACATCTCCAGCACATATGCTGTCTAAACGAAGCTATGTAGGAAAATGTCACTAACAGAGCTGTCTTTCAGAGCCCCAATGGCTCTTTACAAATAGAACACTTTAACTAGACACTGCTTTTTAAAATACACCATAATTATTAGTAACAAGGTTATGCTGACCCTCACGATGCAAAGGACATAAAATAGGGTCAACTGTTAATTAAGTTCACGATGCTCTGCTAAACAATGCACGTCATTGTACCGGACCTCCACCGTTCCAGGGCTTTCTCGTACATCAGTGGTGGAGGACAATACTCCTCCTCATGTTCCTTCAGAAGCCCCTTTATTACCAAAAAAGTCTCCTAATGCCAACTTGAATTCAAAATCCACTTTGTAACTTTTGTAACTAGTGCTTGAGTTCAGCCACTGTGTGTGCTAATTTATCTCACTATCTGTATCCATCACTCCTTTTCCTCATTGAGCTCAAATCCATATATTTAAAAGTGGAAGAGCACGATAATGGCATACCAACACATCAAAAATGGGATACAGCATCCATGAACTCTGTCCCATGTGGTAAAGCAACAATAATGCATAATTGGGCATCCTAACTACACTTACAAGCAGTTGGAAAACAGTGACCTAAAGAATGCATTTTTGTTCATATTTACTTTATGGTTCCTATACTGTTAAACTTCAGTACATTACTTGTCTGTAAGCAAACATATGTCAAATTAAATCTATGATGCTTCCAGAACATGAGCTATTTTCCAAAATTTTACTGGCTTAGAGATTTTCTCTTTAAAATCAAAGCTGTACTTTAAGACGTTAAAGAAAACACATTCTGTTTTCTTTAGAAGTAACTGGAGTCTCCTACTTAAATTTTAATACCAAGATATAGAAACGCTAACACAATATCCACCCTTCTGTGGAAATAGTTTCAGCACATTGTGGAGCATTATAGTTAATCTGTTCGTAATAATTCCAGAGGGCTTATTTTCTAAGTTATTGGAAGTACTGTGAAATACTTCAGATAACGTTGGACTTAAGTTATTAGCTTGGGCTCTGAAGCTATATTTAACATATTCCATTCTGCAGTCAGTTTGCTTGTCTTCTTACATCTGTCTTCTTACAAAGATTTCTGGAACCATTTTACAAGTCAGTTCATATGGTGAACTCCTCCTGATATATTCTGCAACAAAAGTCTTTGAAACAGCCAAGATGGTAGCATTTGAAAACCACACTACATGCACTTAACTACCCATATCTACATTTATACATATAGACAAAATATTTCTATTTCATGCTATTACTTAGTACTTGGTTTCTCCAGCATATGAAATCCCATGTTTTTGGGGGGATTTTGTGCAATACAACAGATCCATTGACAGCTTTAGGCCTGAATTACCCCGGAGTCAATGACGTGAGAATGGACGACTATTACTTTATGCAGTTCAGGGCACAAACAAACACTGTTTCACTGGAAATTTACCAAATACAAATTACATAGCCTAAACGATCCAGGGCCCCAAAGCGGTATCAATAAAACATTCTCAAAATGCAGTATTTGTTGAAAGTTGCCATGGCAACTTGCCATGCTTGAAAACCTTGAGACCTGACAAGATATCAATGGAAATGTTTGTAATTCACATTTGATTTCCTAGATTATGTTTCAAAGTAAAGATTATTAAACATAGAAACTGCTAAAGCACTGAACTGACTTAAACTGAACAGTCAAGGAAATTCTAAGTTAAGGACATCACGTTGTCTTTGAAATCACTTTAATGCCATCCAAAGACCTCTGTTTCAAAAAACTATGTCAAGGTCCATATAAAAACCTCAACTATGAAATTCCTTGCTTTAGAAGATTTAAGTCAGGCTTTATTTATAGTCATTTCCAAGCGTGTAAAGGTGAAAGTGGGTATGTGTGGAAAGCACATTCAAAGCATTCCAGCCAGGCCAAGCAAAAAACAGAGGTGTTTTGATAAACTCACACACTTACATACACACGGTGTGAGGGTGAGGCACAAACAGCATCTGTGGTTTTACTTATTTTGTTTGGGTGAAAACAAGAAAGAAGAGCCCAACTACCTCTGAACACTGGGCCAGGCTCAAAATCAAACACTATTTCACTGGGGACAGAATGAAGGAGGGGACTGGGAGTCCGGGATTGGTATTTCCGAAGACAGCGCATCAGCTGGTTCAAAGGGGCTGTTAGAGAGAAAGAGACGGGCAGGCAGAGACAGAAAGACAGACACATAGAAGAAATGAAAGAAGTCATGGGAAATAACTAGGATGCTTTGACTCCTATTCATAGATCGCTTCTGTACTTTGAAGGACAAAAAGGTCAATTACTAAAAACACTGTTTCAGGAATGGGAATAGCCAATTGTTTTCAGATGCCAAGCAGACAGTTTATGATCAAAAGTTAAAACCAACATGATAGCACAACATTTAAATGCTGGACAAAATGGGCAAAACTGTGGAAAGCCACACCTATTGAGACATACAAAAATAGCCAAAACTGGAAACTTTAAATCCGTATGCTTGCAGACTAAAGGAAATTTCTTTTAAAAAAGTGTTCTATTGCTGGCATAAGAAAAAGCAGCTCCCTCAAATCCAAAGCAGGAGGTAGGTACCATCCTACAAACAAACACGTTTGGACGGGAGAAACAAAATTAGTGATAGTACATGGTACAAAACCTTGGGGATCGGGATGGAGTGCACTGAGATAATTCAGAATTTTCTTATGGCTGGAACAAGTTACAATTAATAGTAGCTGGCTGTGTTAATAATCCAGAGTTAGAAAAAACTGTCATATGCCTACCCTACTTATTATTTCTTTATGATTTCTATATTACGATTATATTCATAGGAATAAATATGGCACGTAAGAAGCTCTCTCAGGACCTTGACAGCCAGTGAGAAAAGTGACTTAACGGGCCCATGTGTAACATTTCAAGAAAAATAAATCTATTTTCTGGCCTAATTGTCAATTGTGGCTAGGTGTTACTAAAGGAAACAGAGACCTGGCTTTAACTTAAGGTCCTAACAACTTGGTACTGAGATTAGCACAGGCATGCAGTACAGCAAAGCAGCATCTTCAGCAGGGGTAGAGGGGGAGAAGAACCGGAGCACTTCATGCTGCTTTAGGATGCAGCAGTTTGTATGGAAAGTCCATCTACCGTGCTGATGGTCTTCAAAGACTGTTGTTTCCATGGGTGGAAAGGTTAACAACAGGTATAAAAATCTTTGAGAGAGGGTTTGGAAGTTGTAGCATATCTGTGTGCAGCCATGTGAGTAAATTAGTGTGTGGGTGTGTGTGTGTGTGTGTCTGTGTGTGTGTGTGTGAAAATGAGAGTGCAAGATAATTTTAAAACTAAAAAACTAGGTAACACTTCAAAACTTTTTCTCCTTCCGTCTCCCCCACTCCCAGAATGACTGGCAAATGACTCGAACCTTTGTCAGACAAATACTAAGGTCATGGACAAGCAAATGCAAATTCATTTTTTATTCTAGTCATATTCTCATTTGTGCCTGTGTTTTATAGAAGGAAGTATAACAAAGGGAAAGGACAGCAACTGTGTAATATAGCACTCTAGCTAGTTTAAACACTACTTACCTCCCTCTCCTCGTACACCCTGGTCTCTAATCAAGTCCTATAAATTAAAAAAAAAAAAAGTAATTGTATTTAAGTATTATCACATTTATATTCCGGAATCAGTTGAGAGCGATCAAACTGAGAATCCTTGACTTTATATGCTGGCCATGAAATGGATTTTGTTTCCTAACCTGGCTTACTAACAGCAGTGACTCTGAGGAACTATTTATAACAACCATTAAACTTTTAAAAATGATTTACTTTAAAAAAGCATCTCCCAGTAGTAAACTGAAATGCACAGCCCCGAAAATAGATGCTGACATGAAAATATTGATTTAAACATGCAGTTATCCAAAATGCACAAAGAAATATTGAACCAAGCATTCTGGTTACAGTGTTTGCGACAAAATTGTCTGAACTGTCTTATCAGAAGCTGGGACATCAATTTCCTGTACTGAGGTAAGTCAGTCAAATGAGTTCTGCTTAGTTCTTGTCCCATAACGAGGCACCTCGTTTGCATACCCAGATGCACTCTGCTCTTTTCAGAAATGACTGAATGTGAAAGATTTCCTTCACTTGTAATCCACTGTTAACTCAGAGTACCTTTTATGGCATATCCAAACCACATGGAACCTACACTAATGATGTTCTTAACACAAGAAAATTTTACTAGCTTCCCTCCATAAGTTCATTTGCACCATCAAACCATTTTTTAATGATTACACAATTAGTTTATTCTTTTATACATTTGCACTGCTGCTGAAGATACTGGTCCTGCCTCTCAGCTGCACCACTGCCATATTATCACGTAGCAATTTTAAGCCACTTTCTTAAAACTCAGGTAACTTTCCATCTTCTGCTCAGCTCTCATGCAAAACAGATTTTGTGCCTTGACGCCCATGCAGACTTCAAGACTGATCACCTGACAAATAATTAATTTCTAAACACTGGACTCAAAGGTAAAATATGAGCTGTATACACTAGCAAAATTAGAAAGAGGATGTTGTGACCAACATTTTGAAAGATCCTGGTTAGTTACTCTTAATACCAACTATTATTATTATTACAATTCAGCATCCAACATTTTCAAAAAAATGGAAAACAAGTTAAGTGTAGCAGTTTCTGAACACTCCAAGAGAATACTTAGAATACAGGAGCCCAGAATACAGGGCTATATACTGGGCTCATGAAATCCTAAGCAACACTCAGTAAATCTGAACTCAGATAACTGCAATAATTTGATTTCATTCAATGCCAGGAACATCACTTCAATTGCAAACACTAAAAAAAAAACAAAAACCCCACACACAAAAAAAACAAACAAAACCAACCAACCAACCAAAACCTATCCTGCACATAAATAAGTACGCTTAATTCATATAATAGTTTGCAAGAGTGGTTGCTGACTTTTATACTCTTAATGGCGTGGTACAGCTAGCAGTATAAGCCTTACAACTAAAAAAAAAAAAAAAAAAAAGAGTAGTTGTTTGTGGTAAAATACTTCTTTGAACTGTCAAAATGCAGCTTCTGCTTGTCGAGAACGGGTTATCTGTATTTATACAGCTCACAATAGCAACCACTTCTTTCCTGGGAATTATGAAGATTCTGACAGATGACCAAGGATTAGACTAGAGCTATAGTCCTTGTGTACACAATGATAAATTTAACACCCTGATATTCATAAGGGAAACATCAAATCTGCTGTTTCTGATTGAAATGTTATTAATACTTACATCAATATTGACTGGCTCGATTGTATTGATGTGAACATTGGGAGCTGAAGAGGATCGGTCGCGTTGCCCAAACTGATTCCGATGGTCTTCATCTGCTGGTCGGAAGGGCTGTGGGATTGGAATGGATTTTGAAGGAGAAGGACTAGGGAGAATTGATGGTCTGAGAAACAAAGTCAAGGAAAAAGAGGATTTAGGTCTACAAATGGCTTCAAATACTGCATAGTGGGTGTGGTAAATCCTTTTCAACTATAATAATACATACATAAAAAACAGCTGGTCTAAAGGCCTGCATAAAAACAATTTATAATGAATGATCTCTACTCCCCTAGGATCAATTGCAACAACTCTCTGCTGCAGAAACTACCTAATTACGTGGCCATGAAGTTTTCTGAGTTTAAAAAAAAAATCACACACACAAAACAAACCCTAACATGCCGTATTTAACTAGTAATATTAAATTCTGATCTGAAACAGTTTAGGTAGTTCAACATGCACTGAAGATATTGACGTGTTGTGCAGTTTCTGCACTTCAGAGTTAATGCAATATGCTCTTTTTAATGGCCACCTAGTAAGAACTATAAATGCTTAACACCTCACATCAACATAACAGTCAAAAATGTCACAAAAAAATTGTATGGAAGGGATTATTGTGCAATGAAGAAAGACTGAAGATTAAATAGTGGTCACCCACCATGAGTAACACTATGGCCAAAGTAATACGAATTATTGATATTAAAAATAAATATATCACCTTTTTACCCCACCTTTTAGGAAATACCTTTGAATAGTGCAACATTTCAAACATTATTTACTCTGCTACAGTAACACAATGCAACAGATCTGACTTTAAAGGTAAGCGTTCAGAATATACAGACAAGTTTTCTGAAGAAATACAATTGCTGCCAGTCAATGTAGATAAAAATCTTTAATTTACAGTGACATGAATCAAATTTTTAAAAAACAAAGCATTACACGCTTGGGTTTTTGTTTGTTAGAAGGCAGGATGTCACTCATTTGGTTATCCTGCTATTTTGGTAAAGTACAATGAACAGGCATTTCTCTCTCACTCAAGTCAAGGTCAGTTGCTGTTAGGTATAATGATTCAATTTAATGGATATAAGAAGTTCAATGAGAAATACTTGTCGCATTCTGAGTTTAAAAGAAACAAAACAAAACAAACTACAACAAACTTATATTTAAAAATGTTTAAAAGTGTAAGAAAATGTTATGTTTAAAATACACTTGCTAGCTGACAACAAGGTTTTAGAACTTACAGAAAACACAACTCCTAGCAGAGGAGGACAGTCCTCCAGCTATTAAATTACTCATGAGTTACCATGCCCACAAAGGCAATGCCCACTGGGAGAAGCTTCAGAAATAAACCATACAACAGCCCACAGCAGCAACAGGTCCTGGTGCTGTCTCCTGTAAGTAAATGCTCCTTGGTCTCTCCAAAGACCTTTTGGGTAAATGTTAGCATTCAATAGCATCTCTGATGTTTATTTGGAAATGGGTCTGCTTTAAAGGAGACTCAGTGCTACCAGTACCCTAAGTATCTGCTGTCTTTTCCTTCCTGGCCAAGTCTCACGATCAAGAATGGGCACACACGGCACTTGCCAATGAATTCCAATAATGGTGTAGTAAGTCTTACAATAAAATACCTAAATTATGTCTGGGGAACAGGAAATAGAGGGGAGAAGGAAGAATATGTAGTGTTTTTTTTTTTTTAAATCATTTAAAAAAATGTGATTACCTATTGTCATATGACAGAATACGAATATTGGGAAGACAACGGGAAGCAACAAAGTGTCTTCAATAGCCCAGCATTTCTGAAGAAGCTCAGAAGCACAGCTAGGTAAAATTATTTCTATTGCAGATGAGGAAGTTTGGAACTCTTGAGTATTTTGTAAGAAAACGATGCAACTAGAACCCACATCAGGAGATGGGACACTGCAGAGGCATGCACAGGATGTGGCTGACATTCCAAGATACTGCATTTTAATGTCAAGGCAAGTGAGTCTGACGGTGCACAGAAAGACTTCAGAAAAGTAAAAAAAAAAATAAAATATCAGGCTAGTACTGCCACTATTGGGACAGCTAACTCCTGCTCAAACTTCCTGTGGGTTCCTCAAAATAATGAAATCAAGGGAAATGCGTAACAACAAACAGCAGTTCATTGCGTTAGGGATGACCAGGAGACAGCATTTAAGCTCTGCCACACAGCTTAACAGAAGCAATTAGTTTCTGTGATTGTGAGTAAGCTGAGGGAGAGAAAACCCAACTGCAGAGATATTGTTTTGATTATACCCTCTTTTGAGTCATCTACTAAGGGAATCTGCAAATACTTCTGTATTTCTGGTCATGGGTCATCACACCTTTCATGTAGCTAGCACAGATACTGTGCTATGCCATATCATGTTTTAAAAACAACATGAATAGATCTTTCTGCTCATGGAATTGTAGGGACAGTTCAGATCTTCATGAAAAAAAAAAAAAAAGACCTACAGCTTGACAAAGACTCTTTTTTTGCTAAACTTATTGGGAGGATCTCTGGGTTTTAGACACCAAAGAATCTAGAGATAGAGATCTCATAAGCAGTTATTCACGTTTTCTATCTACACCTGCAGGATTTTGTTTGTTGGTATTCTTGGGACACTCACCAAAAGGTGGGCTATTTTTGCTAAATGTGAACTTTGCTTGAAAAGCAGAGAGAAAGACTCAAGGGGTTTACTAGCCAGGGTGGCCTACTGGGATCACAAGCTCAGGAGAGGTTACCAGCAGCCTCTGCTTGTGTGCAGCAAAGACCGTATTTTAACGTGCATCTGCTCTACAGAATATACATCATCAGAAAGCATGGAGCAATCCTTAGATACCAGAGGCCCATTCACAGAGTATTATGAAGTTTCATCTGCTCCGTGAAGATGGAAGGGACAGTGGAGCATGAAGGACCAGCTCTCATCATTTGGAAGAGGGCGACGCTGTCTGTTCTGGGCAAGTTCCAAAACTAGATCTGCAGGCTATGCTGGAGGAGTAAGTGCCAGCAAAGAAATTGCCAAAACAAAGAAGAGAAAAAAAAAAAGGACCAGAGCACAGCGGCTGCCAAGAACTGTTTACTGTGGCATACATGTAGGCAGGCTGCAGCTTAGAGAAGAAGTTTAAATTCAAGGCTCTCAGTATCTGTTGCTCCTGTGGACTTTGTAAGTGGCTGGCAGACAACCTCCATGCTAGAAGAGAGCTTCTAGAAATGATAAGGCCAGTGTTCTGACACACTAGAGGTTGTACCACACTTTCTTCCAGCCTCCTAAGTGTGGGCATCCCTTTACCAAAAGCTTCGCAGCTTCCCAGGCAACAAGCTGATAGAGTTGTCAAATCTACATTTTTTAGAAAATAAATTATAACCTTTCTTTGTGGTATAACAGAACATGCTATTTGCTTAGACTGGGGATTTGGGATAAGCACATTGTTCCCTCTGTTTTTATGAAAAGAGAAGGAGGTTTTGTCAGGAGACAGAAGCAAGCCTAAATTACCTAACTTAGGCAATAACTAAGTTAACTAAATGAACTGTGGATAGGTGTAGTTGTTTTACATATTGTCAACCATAGCAAATGCCAGTGTGTCCACAGACCTACTACTCTACAAAACTAGGTCCACTGGAAAACGGATGGTAACTCAAAAATGCCCACACACTACTTCATATATAACAATTTTATAGTAAACACATACAGTATCCCCACTATATCTTAGAACTTGCAATAATACAACTACAGGCTATAGTGTGCTTTACAAATATGAAAAAAATAATATAAATGATCAATTTCCTTCAAATATATGAAAAGTCATATTGGTGAGTTAAGAGCTGGTCTACTCAGGAAAGATTTTTCTCAAGAGGTTTGCTTGGCTGCAAGATTTTTGTCTGAATTTTTGTCTTGCTGTAGTTAGGCAAAGACCTAAACAGAAAGTTCACATTCAGACAGTTAGAAGTTATAGTGTATATGCCACTTAAGAGTAAAGGTGTATCTCAGTTAGCTCAGCACCCTGTTCACCTGGTAGACTGTATACTCATCAGAATCTATCACAAGCCATATCAGACTACCACAGCTTTTTTTTTCACCTCTGCATTTATACCACAGTACAATTGGCTTTGTTTTTTTTACTACTACTGTTACTGAGATGCACAGTGCACTTCCATTTTCAGTTTCTAAGAACTGTGAAGGATCTGGGATAAAATGCTACTTCAGCTGCACAAGCAACTAGTCTACCCAAAAGCGCCATAGGATTCAGCGCTCACAACTTCATATGGATTAGTGCATTTTTTTTATACCATGGTAAATATTTTCCTGCACGTCAGTTTGTAGGTGTAAAATAGGATTATCACAATAGTACGCATTCATACTTGTCTTTTTGGCACGGATGAGAGCTTTGCAATGTTTTTGTAAAACTTCTGACAGCTTCGTATGTAAGGGGCTATCGAGAGGACCCCTGTGGCTGTCATTACTCCTCCAAATCAGCTCTCAGTTTACTGCCATGTTTTTGCAAATAAAGTTTTGGGGAACAATATGTTTCCCCCACTTTTTGTACAAAATTAAAAGGAATTGTCTTAGGATGCTGATACCAAGCCTTTTCTGCTCATCAAGATGTCATACCAAAGTGGATATCATAAGAAATCTGCTAACATTTGTATGCGATGGCTTGGAAAAGGTCTGGTCCCAGAAATTTTAGGAAAAAAGTTCAGCGTTGTTTTATGCTATAAAACAAGTAGATTTAAAAGGGTGTTGTAGCACTAAATGCATCCTTGTAAGAATGCGTCTTTGTTTCATCAGCTATTTAGAACCTTTTCTAGACATTTAAATGTCTTCAGCTGAGGCAGAACGATCAGTGAACATTTGGAAGACAGAAAGGAAAGCAGAGGTGTTTAATCATAGGTTAGAGCCTGCTCTAAGGCACGGGCTGGCAAGCTTCCAAGAATGGTGCACCAGACAGCCCCTCTTCCTTCCTCATATGTAGAAGATCAAGCATGAAATGTTGTTTTTTAATAAGCCAAGATGTTACTAATTGCTTGCTAGCAGTATCCTACCTCAAGCAAAGCAGGGGCTTCCAGCTTTTATCAAGTTCAATCTGTCTCCGTGCTACTCAAGTCTGACCCTATTCCACCACCCTCCCCATTCCAGAGGGTGCTCACCCTGACATGATATCTGCCTCATGAGTTTGCTGAGTTTTGCCCAATATCTGAGAGAATAGATGGAAGCAGAAAAATACAACTCTGTAATATTCTAGAGAGCTAATCTGTCATGTGATCTCTCAATCTTTCATATATCTGTAAGATGCAGTGAAGTGTGGTCAGAGAAATGTGGTACTCATGTTTTACAAGCACAGATGCAGAAGAAATTTTATAATAGTGCAACAAAATGCATACAGTGTTATTATATAGAGTTTGTGTACTTCAATTTTATTACAAATGACTACTAGTAGGGAGACCTACACTTAAATAATTCTTTCCAGATAAGTCCACACTACAACTGTCTACTTTTGCACAACATGATGCTGCAAACTGAGAGAACTAAACTGGAACTGAGAGCTAATGTGAAAGCCGGACACATTTTAATAAGGGGTTCAGGAAGGTGCAAACCAAGACCACGTGTGCTTCACTTAGGGTGGAACACCTGGACGAACTGCCTGTAGCTTACAGTTGACAGAATGAAAGGCTACCGGACTGGATTTCTTTAGGATGTTACAGGTGTGCAAAGTGCAACAAAGTTTTCCAGCATGTTTATCAGATTTTGCACCATGTCCAATGTTCTCTTCCATTCTCTTTGCAACTTCATTTGATCCCTTGACCATTTCTTAGCATATTATACACGCCTTTGCTCTTGAGCTTGTCTTGCAACACAAACTCTTCTTTTCTTTGGACACTTTGTCTGCAGCTGGCATCCCTTCACATAGCTCAAGATGAAGGATGTTTGCCTCCTCTTTCCTCAGGTTTACCAAAGAATTAGTAACAGTCCTTCCTGTATGGGCTGTGCCATGCAAGATGCTAGGAGAACAGAGAAATTAAAGGAGTAGTTATTAAACTAGTAACAGTAAAGCACTAGTTTTTCATATTTTTCACCCCCCACTGCCCAACGCTAAATAACTTTATTCCTTTACTCTCTTCTCAGTCAAAATAACCTGAAATGTCAGGCTTTTTGATTCCAGTTGGGCTGCTGCCCCATATTGTAGCAATACCCTTTAACAAAACCATGTCTAAATACTTGACTTCATAGATAAGGATGGCATTTTTTTTTTCAACTCTTAAAGAACAAATAACCAGATAAATTAGTATTTTCACAATTATGTCTTGAAAAAGCAGAGAAGTACTATTAAAGAAAAGCAAAAGAATAACTGGAGAAATATATAGGCAGTGCTGTAAGTTCATACAATACTGTCCGAGCTGCTTCTGGAAAGGAAACAGTACCAGCACAGACGTTCGGGAAAAACTGCATAACTTTGTAACATGCATACTACTTATTAACGCCAGCTCATAATCATAAAACGTTTTCAAAATAAACAGACCTCTGAAGGCATGCTGCATGCCTTTTTGTTCACTTATTTAACAAATGAAGCATACAGCAAGGGAAAAAAGCAAAACGGTAGAAAGCTAGAAACCTCTTACAGCTCCTGCAACCACAACTATTTATGGATGCAACATTTAGAAAACGCTCTTTAACCCCAGCTGGCAAGTATATTTAACTTCACATGCATAAAAATAACATTATAAACCTTAAGGCATCAAGTAGCTTTTGTCTCATAGTTTTTCCTTTCAGTATTCATTTCACAAAACTAAGATCGCCTAAAGCACTACTATGTGTATCAATTAATATAATTCATCCTGTTGTGTCCTAATGAACTGGTAACAAGTCATGATTGTGAAGGCAGAGGCAACTGAGAAGTAGTAAAATTTAATATATAAAACATATTAGGATCAGGGATATAGTGCCTTTTGGCCTTCACAGGTGTTTAACACATTTGTTATGAACAAGCTTCCTCTCAGACTAATAATTCTGGCTTGGTTTTAATTTCAGCTCTATCATGATGACACCAGAGCCTGCTTAGCTTACAAGGCCACAGCAGCAGGCTTGTCCACAATCTGCTGCACTAACATCTACAGCACATGAAGGCGATATCCCTTACCTGGAAGAGGCACTTCCAAAACTTGGCTCAAACCGCACAAATTAAAACCAGTAAGAATATTGTCTTTGTACTTACCAAACGAGGTTCCCTCTGCAGCACTGTCAGTCTGTTTCCTGAGAGGTAACATATTTGGTCTCTCATAAATAATCTTGGTTGTTCAGGGAATTTTTCTTCCAATCAAAGTCCAGAAGTGCCAGTGTAGCTTCCTGCTGTGCTCTTTAGTCTGGACACAACACTCAAGATTCCGAGATATCCTCTGCCCAATTCAGTTCATCTCCACACAGTATGCACATGTCCTAGGAGCACTTTCCTGAAGGCTTTTATCATTGGTGTTTTAACAAATTTGCATCAGGATACTTGGTTTTGATGCACATCCTTGAGGTATTCTTTCCTGGAGATTTGTTCTGCTATCTAGTGTTGGTTGTCTGATCTCTTAGTGTGAACATAACCTAAACATGATTCATTACCTCTTCACAGAGAAAGATCCAGAATCTTTGTTGGAATTACAGGGGATGAAGGCCACAGTCAGTTTTTAAGAAGTCTAATTTTACAAAAGCTGGATTGACAACAGCTGTTCTTGGTATATCCCAACATCTAAATAGGAGGAAGAGAGCTCATCCGGAGGACACTAAAGCCATGTGTAAATGAAAAAGTTCCTCAAGCAGTATTATGAACCTGGAATTGCCATCTATTCATACCAATCTTATAGTGTGAATAAACTTATTCTGTGTGGCTTACTCTGAAACAGAACTATGTCACTTCAACGCAAATACATCGTATCTTGGTAACACAAACTAAAAGAATTTGTGATGAGATAACTGTGGTTTGCTTTGACTTTAAGTATAAAATCTTTCCAGTTTAGACCAGGTCTGAACTACCATAAAGAAGAAATCAGTTTAACAGGTAAAGCCCCAGTTCTGGAGACACGCACATGCTTAACTTAGATTGACTACTGATATATGCCTTTGAAGTTAAGCACATGTGGATATATTTGCATGACAAGCCAGATTACAAAAATGTAGAGAGGGTTGCAAAGCAGTACTTTGAGTGTTTCTAAGCATACAGTACTGAAATATTATGTTATTAAACAGCAGGAATAAGGTCATACCCAACAGAATCTGAGGGGGGCACTGAAGGGTACGATCCAGATGCTGGGGTGGTCTCTCCTAAGGAGGCCTCCTCCTGCGGTATGGGGTGATGTTCAAAGAACTTGGAGACAAACAGCAAACTGTGAGGCAAGAACAAAACAAAAACAACCTAACTCGTGCAAAACCCAGAAGCTTCACAACACTCAGATTAAAAAAAAAAAACAAAACAACACACACACAAACCCAGCCCTGATTAAATTATAAGTTTTAAAATAAAGCCTATGCTAACACATTAACCTGTAAGATTTATTAGAAGTATTATTTACTTGAGAAGGGATCAAAAGATCATGCCTTAAACATACCTTTGCAGAAAATAACCCTTTAAACTTTTACTTGAAATTTTAAACATCTGGTTCCTCAAGAATACACAACTAATACCTATGCATTGAGTACAGGAACTTATTTGAACATTTGTACTGATGTAAGGCCAAAAATCAAATGACAAATGGATAAAAGTACGTTATCCATAAGCCTTGAGCACATCCTCTAAAGGTGCCCAAGGCAACTGCTACAAATACCAATGTAAGCAAGAGTTAAATTTATTCTTGAGGGAAAAACTAGCATTTTAAGTGATTCCCTATATAAAAGCTTACTTAAGAGACTTAATAGCCTCTGCTGAAACTGCTCCATAGTGTGTTTGATTAAACTCACTACAGATTCTTAACCTACAGAGGCTTACACAAATCAACAGTTAAATTCAAGAACACATGAATATTTGAGGCATGTTTTTATGTTTCTTATTTGTTAGTGGATTTGTTTTCAAAACCAACTGCAGTTTGACCATATTAAACTGGTGTCTCTTAACATTTTTTCAGGTTGAAGAGAGATCTACATCTAAACATTTAAACAAGGCCCTAGCCATCACATAATGAAGAACCAGTTTTGATTAAGAATTACATCTGTGAACAATGAGGAGTCTGTCTCATGCAGTCAAGTGCTCAGCCACGCTATTCATGCTTCAAAGAAAGCATTTCATAGTCCAGCAAAAAATAAAAAATATGAACTGGTTGTCTGAACCCGCACAGACAGAATATGAATTAAGCAGTCTCAGAAGAACAGCTGAGCTCCTATATTTTTTTCAGGCACCTTCTCTGACTACCTGAACTGAAGATTTAACATAAGAAATCACTGACAGCTGTAAGCTTAATAAAAGGCTCAACTTTAAAACAAACTGTGATTACTTACTCAAGTTGATCATAGTTAACACACATCAGTGGCACTTCTGTACTACAGCGCTGGTGAAATTTATAGCCACATGTCTGACATCGGAATCCCTGGAAAAGCAGCTTTCGACAGAAGTCGCAGAATGCTAACGTGAAGAATGTTTTTCGTACCTAAATTGTAAAAAATAATCATAGTTAAAGTCCTCCTGTAAGCCTAAGATAGGCTGTTTGCTTTCGCCTCCCACAAATACACTTAAGACATTTTTTGATGCTGGAGCTTCAGTTTTAGATATTGAACAGATTCATTAAAGAATGTCATCTTTTGAAATAGCCTTCATGCATTACAATTATCTTTCAACTACTTATTTGAATTAGTACTTCATTAGCAGCAAAAAACCAGCAGCGAATCTGAAGCAAAACAGCACATTATGCTAGAGACAAATATTCAGAACATAGTTTGGATGCAACCTGTGACAACAAAAACTGCTGAAAGATTATCTCATCTCATCTTTCCAGGAGCCAAATGACATTTCTATCCAACACCCACAGGACTGGAAATACACAACTGGCATGTATCTGTGGCTCCTTACTGAAAATAATTTAAAATCGCAAGAGGGTGAACATCCAGTATCCCCATATTACAGGGTATAGTTTCATTTTCAAACTTAGCAATACTTGGCATAAGAATACATATTCTAGTTGCATTACTACACGTAATAATCAGCATTTTAGAAGGATACACAAAAATGTTAAGCCTATTATACTTTCATCTAACTAGCCACAGCCAAAGTAACTTGTTTGAGTAAAACAGCGTAAGAAGCTTGCAAATAGAGTTTTGCTTATTCATTGATTTATTTAAATAAAAGGTGTTTCTTCTCAATGTGACAAACATTATTTCCAGGATTTTGCGTGGAGCTGGAACAGGGTAGATGGATTCTGTTTAGCAGCTTCCATGTACTTTGTGCCTTATCAGGTCAAAACATATTTGTGCACTAGCATCACTGATGATGTCAGCGCCGCTCTGGGAATAGTTAGTTCATTAGTTAATTGCTGCTGCAGAGCCAGCAGGGAGGCCCAGAATACATTTTATAGATACAGCAATACAAAAATAGTAGATTATTATTACAGCTCTGCAATGCAGTGCTGATTTAAAACCACAACATTTATAGATTTTAGAGGGTATATTCCATCCAAATGTGAAAGTTTTAAAGGGGGATCAAGTATCCTTTAACATCATTTATTTAAACTACAATTACACATAATTAATCTAAGCTATTGTGATTAAAAAAGGCTTTTGCAACCCCCACCACATCCCACAGATACAAAATATTATTCAAAGTCATTAATTTGAATTTGAAAGCACAGTGCCGACTTAACCCTAACTCAGCATTTCATAAAAAGTGGTACATACAAAATTGTGTGTCGTGAGTGGCACATTCTCCAAGACTTCCACGTGCAACTCCTCTCCCGTGAGCCAGGAAATGTCAGTGTCCCAGCCAATTGGCTTCTTCTCTCTGAAGTGCAAATAAGCCTCTCATTAGCACCAGCACACAAGCCCTTGCACGTCTCCTGCTGAAGATGTGAGATCAGGTAGATCTCTGCACTGTGGAGGCTTGCTACCCAGCCTCTCGCTACAGGAAACTTCAAAGGCAAGACACTAAGCTCAGCACACACCAAGGACAGCACTTCTTCCCTGGACAAAGGACATGAAAGAATTGCACTTCTTTCCCAACCACCTTCAATAGTGGCTGACTCCTTGATTCCGGGGAGACAAATATACTTTTCTGATCAAATAAAGTGTCTGTGAAACTACCTGTTCCACAAAAGTTCCAAAGAGAAAGCTAATTTTGTGCAGTATGATAATTTAACAACTTTTACTCAATGTAAATTTTTTTGCAGGAACTCTACATTCAATTAATATTGCATATAATCAGGTAAAATAAAATCAAAAAGTTAAAGAAACCTATTTGATACTTGTTCAGTTAGCACAAATTTGAACAGTTTTGACAGCTTTTAAGGACATACTACTCTGGAAAATGATTTAATCACTAAAAGAACAGGCGTAATACAGGAGTTTGCCATTCTTTTCAGACACGTCCTCAAGGCACAAGTTGTCTTAGCATGAAGTATCAGATAATTCTAAACTCTGAAAACAACTTCCATAATGTTGGATAAAATTGGCCATGCTGGGTAACCCCAAGAAAAAATTTCTAGGAGTAAAAACCACCATGCAAACCATACCCATCTTGTATTCTGTAAACAGCACAGCATTCTGGAATGAGACCTCGCATCATCAGAGCTTTCTTTAGGCTGTCTCGGACCGTCACCCCGCATCTTGCTGGAACCTAGATGGCAAATATAAAAGAAAGGGATTAAAACAAGTTCAAATTCATCTCAAACTGATGCAAACATTTTGACCCTTAGGTGCTAAAACCTACTTCTGTGACTCTTTACAGGATGCTCAGTAAGAATTTCTCAATTCTTTTTTGTTCTGTAAAAAAAATTAAATTAGTGAATAGTATATAAGAGATCTAGCTCAGCTAGAAATGAGAACGAGCTCTAATTTCTAGCAATATTTTGACAGAAATCTTGATACAACTCTGTGAGGTGACCTTCCAACTCTCCTCACCTTGAAGAAAGTAGAGACATAGCACACAGATAGCTAATAACTATGTATATCTATAAAAAAAATTCAGGCCAGGCTGTAAGATTAAGTAGGGCAACATGCCAACTGAAATTAAAGCAGAAAAACTAACAGCTTGGACCGCCCTCAAAAAAAAATCATGATAAGATGTTTACATTTTATTTTTTAAATAGAAGATAAGCATGAAAACAAGATCAAGCAATCACCTGGGTCAGGTAGACCATTTCTGACTAAGCTATATTTGCAAGTCTACAGACATTTCCTATTTAAAAAATGCATTCCTCTCTTCCGTTTCATTAGTTCAAAATATCTGGCAGGCCTGGCTGGAGGTGCACACTAAAGCTACCCAAACAAAGAACTGTAAACTGTGCAAAGTAAAGATATTTTTCTTGCCCCTATTCTATTTCTAGCTGCAGTTCTCTCTTATAGGAATAGGTACATCATCTCTAAGCATGCCTGTGATTTAGCGATATTGAATCAAACCAGAAAAAACAGAACAATACATAACCTGGTGATATAGCTGAGTATTACCCACTATTTCTAGAGCTACATACCAAAGATATGTAACACCTCAACTGGTATATGCACTAGGATGTTTCCTATACTCATGCAGAGCACCTCATCCCAAGCACAACAAACCTGAATCAAAGGAAAACCCACAGACCTGACTAACCAAAAAAGCCTGTCTGAACACCTGAGACTCAATTATAGCTTATGAGAAGCCTAAGCCAGAGCCCTCAGTAGCCAAAGGAAGGCTCTTAATCAGCTTCAGCTGGCTTTGGATCAGAGCCTAGTTTTTGCTCCTCGCACTTAAATTTCCATGGGTATTTAGGTGCCCTACGTCCTACTTAAGGTTGACAGTGAAAAGTAGCAGCCTATTTCGAGTAGCTTTGTGAATACCATTTGAGGTTATGCTATATATATTGCATTTCTAGAATTCAGGCATATGCTTTCTCAGAACAGGCACATTAAAGGAATGTTTTGCTTCACAAGCTTCCTCCCATTAATACGAAAACATTCCTTACAGGGTGTTTGGGCTTCCCAGCTGATCAACACGTCAACTTTTAAAAGAGAACTTCTATTATTTCCTTGGAAAAACCATCCTTTAACATACCGCTTTAAGATCTTCTTATTCAACCTCAACTGGCTGTGCTTTATGCACGGGATTAATAAGAAGATGTATTGTGAAGTAACCAAAGGAACTTCTTCCCCTCCTCAAAGTCAGCGCTGTGGCTTTCAGTCACCTGTGGAAGTAGGTCACTTCTCCAGCATAAAACACCCGTAGCTGTTAGCAAGCCCCGGTGTAACAGGGAGCCTGGGAGCACCTATTACTGTCAATATTGTCAACAAGTTTTCCATTTTAAGCAACAGAGCACTGGGTTTGACGTCTCTACCAACCTAACCATTCATGCTGAAGTTGTTTGTAACATATTCCTCCCTGCCTCCAACGTACATATTTACAAATACAAAATAAATATTTTTCACTGAAATCTCTAGGGATTTCAGATGTGTACTCCAGCCTCCCACATGACAGGTCCAGCCGTGAAGCATCGCTAAAAAACAAATAAATGAGCGTTCTGCAGCTCAAGGCTGTTTTCCCTGTAAGTACATCACGCGCTGGATTGGGGTAGAAGCCCCACAGAAACCCCAGGTCTAACTTCTCAGCAACAACACACACTTTACCACCGACACCCGTAAGTGGTGGAAGATGAAATACTGGGAGGGTGACAGACCAACTAGGGGAAAAGGGGGACTGAATATACACAGGAAAGTGGCTGATCATGAAAGAGAAATGGAAGATGAAGAAAAAAATGGGAAGGAGTCTCCTGCTCTTTGGAAGATGTTTTCTTCCTCTGGCACTGATCTTACACCAAGGATGACAGCATGCTTCAGCACTTTAGGAAGCAAAGGACTGCACTGGGAAACTAAAGGTTCCACTGCTATCAATAAATTACACCAATGCCACTTCATGTGATTTTTTTTTTAATTCAGTTGAAAACAAGATCTATGAAGTTACAGACTTACTTTTAAGAGATCACTGAAGTCAGAAAGGCAAGCTCTCAAAATGTAGAAGCTGTCAGAACGAAGGTTGCCTACAGCCAAATAAGCGCCATAGGATTATCAAAAAACATGCCTTAAGTGTCTCCCTCACCCATCTTTCACTGTTCCTCAGTGTTACTGCCCCAAGTTCCTTTCATTAACTTCTGAATCGTATTTATGCAACTTGCAGTCAGAAACACGGCCAGAACATTTGTTCTCTTCACTGCCATTTGCAACAAGCTCCAGCTAACAAACAGTGTTTTGATGCCTCTAAAACCCATCAGGATCCTGAATCAGCATAACATTTAGAACATTCTCTAACAGAACTCACGAGCAAAGAAACAGAAGGCTGAAGAACTAGAATAAATTCCTCTGGTATTGATTAATCACGTTCCCAGATTGGTACAGCGCGGTCCATCACCATCTGTGCATGGAGCCCTTCAGCCCCCTCCTCCAGTCCATACCAGAGCTTGCTGGAAAGGAGAAATCTCTCCCCGCAAAGAAATCACATCTAAACCTCTCTTTCTCCCCCATCCTCTTCTCACACCCAAATTGTGGCAAAGGTGAAGAAAAATCTTGCTTTATTTTTTCTTTTAGAAAAATTTGAATAGTTGATCCAGCAAATAACTTCAAAAAAAAATGAAGAGCATGGGCTCTACAAAGCTAAGAAATGGCACAACAGCTGCCTGTGTAGACTGCATGATGTATTAAGTAGAAAGCTTAATAATATAGCAGAGTAACCTACTTGTGCATCTTGCATCAGGCGAGTAGTGATTCAGGAAGACACCAAAATACACATTCGACTTTGCAAACGTGAAATCCCAAGGAAACAAATGAAAATTATTCCGGTGCCTCCAAAAATTCTCAAGCCAGTCTTACCACCTAAACAGTCTAAAGAGAACTTTAGCACCATTTCCTTGTTTCTTTTACTCATGTAAACTATTTTTATGGACAGAAAATTATTTATAGAATCATAGAACAGTTTGGGTTGGGAAGGACCTTAAAGCCCATCCTATTCCACCCCGTGCCATGAGCAGGGACACCTCCCACCAGCCCAGGCTGCCCAAAGCCCCATCCAGCCTGGCCTTGAGCACTTCCAGAACATTTCCCCCATCCCACTGCTACACTCCCAGACAAGGAGTCCCTCCCCAGTTCTCCTGTAGCCCCCTTTAGGTACTGGAAGGCTGCTATAAGGTCCCCCTGGAGCCTTCTCTTCTCCAGGCTGAACAACCCCAGCTCCTCAGCCTGTCTTTGTAGGAGAGGTGCTCCAGCCCTCTGATCATCTTTGTGGCTCTCCTCTGGACTTGTTCTTCCATGTCCTTCTTGTGCTGGGGGCCCCAGAGCTGATATATGTTTAATACTGCAGCCACAAGCATTTAAGCAATGCCTAATTTATTTCTGTAAATCGGGTCATTCCCGATTCAGTAAGTCAGGCCTGCATCCTTAAATAACTCTTACATCACTTTTCTAACATCAGAGCATAAACTCATGGCAAAATCGCAGTAAGTTAAATATGCTTCCTTACACTAGTGCAGTTTCCAATGTTTTATAGCAATAAAGAAACCGATGAGGCTGACGAGCACTTTGAAATCAATGTAAAGGTGTTCTCTGAAGCGGGGAAGCTGGACAGCTCTGAATATCTAGCATTACAATTCTCATAACTAGTTAGCCAATTCGTTTTTCTTCCTCAGCCTAGTACTGTAGTTCAGTTCACTCTTGTCAAGTGTTGTGTATTAATATTCCTTAGAGCTTCAGAAGAATTCTCCACAATCGGAGCACTGGGCACAACAGCTAGAATACTTCATGCTTGGTTTTGAAATATTACTTCAAAGTGCTTGTTTACTTACTTCACCTTGAAGGATCACACTTTATTTTCCCTGGTGCCAATCTGTATGACTAAAAATGCCAACCATGTGCTCACAGAATTCAACGGTGTTAGGGGAGAAATAAACCAAACTATTTTTGTGTCAAATAAATAAAAATCCAAGCTTGAGATCCTCATTTTTTTTCCTATCTTACATATGATGACACTGAACGTGACAACACCTATGAAATGAAAAATACAGCTTTCAGGCAGCTGTTCTGGATTTCAGGGCATGGTGCTCTGACCAACTTCTATAGAAAAAGAGTTTATATTCTGAAACGCATTAAGCAGATAAGACAAATGGGAGACAACTGCATTGCACAGAATATTGTTTCCAAGGCAAATTGAACAGAACTTACCCATTTTACAAAGCTGTTACCGTTCCATCAAATGCATCCCATTTAACTTGGAGACATCTGTTACCAGCACCCGCATCGCTAATGCCATTAAAAAGTACTCGTTTGTAGAACACAGGGGACTGATACATATCACAGGAATATTTGAACAGGAATACACCGTCCCTAAACCACACTGGAGCAAACCTAGCATGTTTACACAACAGCAGCCTTCAACAATCAATTGTTCAAGCTTTTCAAGGGTAGATCCCAAACCGTGTTCAGAGGAACGCTTGCTCTAAGATCATGGCAGATTTATAGCAGACTGCTGGATCACCAGCCCTAAAAGCTAGGGCTGGATGCCAATGCCAGACGTTGTGAAGGCTGACAGTGACCCACCAATAAAAAAAAAGTTTGGAAAAGAGGGGTTAGACTTCAGAGAAGAGAACTGCTCATCTAGGA